ATGACAGAGACCAGCCTACAGGTACCGGCTAAACTGGTACCGTCCGCGGAATATGCTGTGTGTGCCCTAGCACCTCTCCAATGAGCATGCATGATGACAACCGACTGGCGGCCGGCGCGCACAGCCGCGCCCCTGACTCTCTGACAGTGAAGGCCTGAGCAATGGGCATGTCGGCGCGCCGCCAGGAGCTTGTACGGTACGGAACCGGGCGGCGCATGTAGCAGGTAGGGACCTGCGGGCCATGCGATGGCTTACATGCAAGCTGCATGCAAGCTCTTGACCGGATCCCGGGCCAATCTGTGCGATTCCTGAATACCGCCAGTAGTCAAAACTCAGGTATTCTTACAAAACAAATGCATATGACAGCGTATGCACATGGAATCACAATAAAACCATCCGACAGATTATGCATTGGTAACGCGAATCTGATGTGTGTATAATTGACGAATCAAGCGCGCGTTTGAAGAGTGCATCTGAAGCCTGTCACGCAATGAAGCATTGAATGCCTGACGTCGGACGACGGCCAACATCATGATCACCCGAGAAGAATCGAGGATGAGGATCCGGTAGAATGGAGTCGGATTGACCCAGTTTTGAGTGTGGCCAAAAGAGATTCTGTAGGATGACTTTCAAGGACTGTACCGTTATATCATCAGTCGCGAAGGACGCTCATGCAGCCTGGCTTGCGCTGCACGTAGTGATTCAACTTCAAGGTGGTGGAGTCTCGATCCGGGCCAGACTGCATAATATTTCCGCCGAAGAGCATGCAATGAGCACACCTTCAGTCACACATGCATGTGCAAATTATTGCCAAGCCTGCCTGCTCATGCGGGCGCAGGCTCTCACTTGGCGAAGGGTACAAAGTACCAAGAAAAAACATGTCCGCGTGTATTGACTGGCGCGATCATTCGTAGGTGGTGATTCTTTCGACTGAACTTACAGCGCTAGCTACAGCTGTCTTCGACACTTGAAAGATGCTCAAGCCTCACAAATTTGCGACTAGCTGACTCATTCACGACATGCACAAACTCACAACAGTGGACATCAGGCTGGTCACACTGTAACAATGCTTTTGGGACCGTGCTGGGCGATCCATACTGTAGGTCAAGCCTTGACGTTCTCAGAATCCTTTTCAGTTTGTTCCTTGTAGTGCCGTATCACGTCTGCTTCCATGGCCTCGAAGGTCGCACAGAACCCTTCGGCATCCCGAACTTCGTGTGAGAACGAGAATCGGAACTCGCCCCATTCCCCCTCGTTCTTTCCCATATTCGATCCGGTTTCGAGCGTGACAGGTGTCCCTATTTCAGCCGGGTCGATGCTTATGGACCGTTGTACTAAACAGGTGAAGCCCCACCTGTCGATGGACAGGACATATGCATCCTGCAAACATGAACGACGGCGGGTTAGCACTTGTTGGAGGGCGTACTTAGAAGAGCAAGGTGTCTGACGTATTCGAGTGGGCAAGCATAGAAGATGAGGTGACTTCAGTATGAAGGAGTGCACAGAACCGATCAATTGGCACACATTGGAGCAAAACGTAGTTCGCAGATTGCGTGCTTCGAAATTCGTTTGGGGCTAGAAAACCTCAAAAAGAATTGACGAAAGCGACGGGAGTTCGCAAACCAACGAGATTGTCTGCATAAGACATGCCTGTCGGAAAACGGAGCTTAAATTGTCAGATCGAATCTGCGCATGTGCCAGCGCCCAAATGCTCGTGAAAGGACCCGAAGTACTACTGCGGCGTGTAAGGAGCGTCTTCTGCATCATTCAAACCACTTCCAGACTGCTCTCGTATAGTCGTTCACCACATCTGAACGACCGCGCTCCAGTCATACTCGATGTCGGGTGCAGACTGTCGCCCCCCCGATCCCCAAGTTCTTCTTCACTCCAATTGGCATCGTTGCACGATTGTGAACAGAAACTCGAACATTCAGCGCTCTCCAAATTGCGTCCGTGGTTCTGCCTCTGCAGACCCGTTAGCACCGGCTCGCGGTGGTAAAACGTCCTTTAGATCAGCCCCCAAAAGTGTGCCATACAAACTCACCCGAGCTTCGACTTGCATGTACGCTGCAGCGAAGAGGATGAGCCGCTTCCGAGTGCCTTGGTCCCGGTTGAGTGCGTCGATCAGCGGAACTGAGACGAGCGCTGCACGCGGAAAGTGATGGCGAACCAGCAACATGGAGCTTTGAGGTATGAATCTCAAAACCGTGTTGAACTGACCGATAGGAAACCATGGAAATCAGAAACTGTTCCTGAAGAAAAGTCGTGAAAATTCAGCGGATGTGTAGGTGCTTCAAGACTCCGCAACCCTCAATAGTGCCAGTCTTTGTGGACGGATGGCGTCTTGGCGGACATTCTTTCGCGAACGGATATAAGCTTCAGCTCACATGAAATCCCGGTACTCCGAACCAAGCACAGCAATGAGATGGGGAAACAAGGCGTCGCTCCGTCCCGTTCAGATCAAACCTTCGTCAAACTGCTCGAGTGAACGACTTCCTTTCAATGACACGAAAGAAAAAGCAGGCCCAAGTCGATTCTCACCCAGAGGGTCCGTCAGCGCCCCCTGGAACTCCTCCGCAGTCCCCGACTTCCTTTCCCCGGCCACGTCCATGTACGTCCACTCCTTGGGCTCCAGTCTGTAGGCCCTCAGTTCACTCGCCCCGGCCATCGCCTCAAGCGCTTTCTGCCGGGCGTCGGCGGTCGGCCCGACGGTGTCGAGAAGCGCTTTCGCTTTCGGGCCCGCCCGCTCGACCGCGGACAGTGCGCGCGCGGACAGCTTCCGGACACGCTTGCGCCAGTACTCGGCCTGCGGGAGCATAGGCGGTGAGAAGATGGCATAAGCGATGGGTAGATAGCATAAGAAATGGGCAGCGAATGAGAGTGAGGAGGACAGCGCGCGCATGGATAGCTTTCATACGCGCTTGCGCCAGTATTCGGCCTGCGGGAGCGGAAGCGATGGGCGAGGCATAAGATATGTGAGGTGACGACGGTAAAAGACAGGGCTGCTGTATGCGCTTGTCCAAAGCATTGGCCTCCGTGAGGGTAAGTGATTTGAAGAGACGCACAAGCAACATGCAGAGGATGAGAGTAAAGAAGGACAGCGTGCATGGGTAGCTTCGGGACACGCTTGTGACAGTCCCCGGCCTGCGGGAGCACAAGCGATGAGTGGGGCATAAGGGATGCAGAACGACATTGATAGCGCGCGCGGGGATAGCTTCTGGAAGCGCTTGTGCCAGTACTCGGCCTGCAGGATCGAAAGCGATGGGTGAGGCGTAAGAGATCTGAAAAGAAAGGCGGTTAGGTTGCACGTCGACCGAAAACCTACTTCGCCTCCAGCGTTGCCTTTGTAGTACCGACAAGTAGGAGGTACGGTATTTCTATGCCATTTTACTCCTCTGGTATGTACCCTCGGTAAGCATGTGGATCTAAAAGCCATCCGATTGGCTAAGAAATCCGGAAAGCTTTTTGCAGCTTTTTGGTCAACGCGCACCCTAAGACAATAGCGGACGCGATCGTGCCAGTACTCAATTGGCGGGAGCACAAGTGATCCGTGGCTCATGAAGATGTGATCAGGTAGACACAAGCGATGCCCAAACTCGCACATCGCTCAAGAGGACGACGCCTGCGCAACATCCAGACCCGCCTATACCCGCGATCGGCCAGGAAGCTTGGGACTTGATTGATAAGGATAGGCGACTCTTCCGCAGCAGTGCAAGAACACTTACACACTGGAGTTCGAGGCAATAGCAGAGTTTCAAACGCCCTTGCGCCAGTTGCAGCAGGACATAGTCGAAAATGAAGCATCAACCCTGTGCTAATCTCGACATCAGCCGTGGTCGAACTAGGCAGAATGAACCAGACGACAGCAAAACCCTTTCGTATTCGACGTGTGTAGGCTCCTCTGTGTCCAAACCGACCAGAGAAGTAGAGCTATGAATACTCGAGCATTTTGCATTGCGGATTTTCTCCCTTAACCCTTCACCATATTCTTCTTAAGGTCGTTAGGGTCCTGAACAAAGAGGCTCTGGAATATCTTATTGCATAGCTCCTGACGTTCAAAAGAACGGCCTTGCAACGACAAACTTCACATGAGCCCCCATAGTTTTCCGGCCACAACGACAGACTCGTTCCGTTACCCTGTACGACGAAGTAGCTAGAGAAAGCAGCAAGCCACGACATTAAAAGAAATCTCTGATTGGAATCTCGACTCACTTTTGATAACCAAATTATCTGACTCACCTCTGAAGGGTCTATTTCTGAAACCTCCCCTAGGATCACAGCCAGAGGGGGGAGCCTCTTGCAGCCTTTCTGCACCGCTTGCACCAGGGCGGGCGGGTCTGTATGGCCCGCCATTAGAGACGCCCGATTGTCGCCAATGATATTCTGCAAGGTCAAGAATCATGAGCAATCCATCGTTTACAAAGGGAATGTGACTGGAACACCCGATTTGGAGCGACTCGATTAAGGGTGCATATACGTAGCATGTTCTTCATTTCCTATCTTTAATCTGTGGCACCGAACGGATTGATCGGATATGGGAGCGCGTCGGAATCTTGATGTATGGACTCCAGAAGACTCTCTTTTTAAGAATCACTCATGACAATGAACGGGTCCTTTCATCAGATCCGTATCTGTATCAACATGGTACGCATTTTTCTGAGCTTCTTGTTGCTGGTGTCAAAGCTCTTGCCCTTAAATGCACTTTTGGCCACAGAGGCCAGCCTCTTGTCTTGGCAACCAGGGTTCGTTCAACCAAAACGTTGTCGCTTCTCCAGCCTCTTTTTCCAAGCCAAGTTCAAATACCCGCAACTACAGCTTCCACTCCCACTTCAAGTGCTCCAAACCGATGATTCGTGATGACAACCTGATGGCTCTCAATCTAATTGAAGGATTGCACGCTCTCACTTTTCAAACCGTGAACTCTCACCTTCTCAGTTGATTGGATCGAATAACAGGCAAATGAGGCCCCTGGACTGTTCCCCATCACTACAACTCTCCTTTTCATCTCTAAGGATGGCAACTCACCATTTCATGTTCGTCATGCCGTGGCAGCCATATGATTGGCCTCCCGTCCAGTACTGCATAGCTTATGAACGTCGAGCGCACGGCGTTCCTTTGACCTTCTGCGGCGCCTGGATTGATCGTGGAAAGCTGACCTTTCCAGTTTGATACGAGAACATTCTGCAGAGAAGGTCAACCTTTTGTCTTCAGATGTATTCCAGGATGCACTTGTCTGGATAGGACCTTTCAGTGACTCGCTGGCCATCAAACTTCAAAAACAATTTCTAAACTTTCAATAGGAGCCTCAGTCAATGTGACAGAAACTTAGAAACGCTTGTAGGACACAGAGAGAGCCAATAATTCATGGGTTTGAGCTGGCAATAGGACCTTCGCTGTTTGGACATCTAGTATTCGACAACAGTGCCACCATGCTTGAACGCTGGGTCATCACTTCCGAGATCTGAAGCCCTACAGAAAGTGTCTTTCAGACACCACCACACATCGCCCTGCAAGCTGATCTTACTCCAAGGTCACAGAGTTAACATTTTAGATGCTGAAAAGGTAGGAATTTGCAATCTACCAACCCTCACAAACATGTTTCCTTTCAACACCACAGCAGTTCTTACTTTGCATCGTTGTATCAGTGGCAGTCCGGTTTCGTCTCCGGAGGATCCTGTACCTCCCTTCTGCGGTGGTTGTTCCCCTTCCTTGGCTAAATCCTCATCATTAGTATCTGTTGAATATGATCTAGACTGAGGTTGATGACAGAAGCTAGAGAACTGAGACAAAGAGCTGCTTGAATCCACAAGGCTAACAAAAGTCCTCTCCGAGTTGAGAGGCTGTGCACCACTGCAATCAACTGCATGGGTCACCAATGATGAAAGCGAGCGCAAGGATTGGCCAGATTGAAAGAGAGGAGATGCTTCTACTTGCTTCAAAAAAAAGCTGCTTTCTTGGAAGGGCTCATTTCCGCTCAGCAAGCGGTGCATAAAGCGAAGGGACGGAAAGAAGCTGCGAAACGCCATTTGCTTGCGTGCCCCGGTCGCACCACCAATCTATGTTGGTGGCCCTCTCACAACGAGCTCAGACTGCTACAGCAGCTAACGACGATAATCACCTAAATGCTGTCATTGAAAAGGAGGCACCATTCTGCTCCCTGGTGCTTTAGCTCATGTGGTTGCTGATTAAAAGGAGGTACGTGCTCTGCTCTTTGCAGCTTGCTGCATGCGAACTCAAAGCCAAAATGGGGTCCTCTTTCGCCTTTGTCCAGCTGCCTTGCGCCAGCACAGAATTGAAACCCTGAGGTTTAATCTATACTAGTTAGTACCTAAAACCGTTCCGCCGAACCCAGTGACACTGTCAGTGTGACTTGTCAACGCCTCAAAGGAACGATGTTGAGTCGCTCAGAATCGTTCATGCTCCGACTCTTATTGATATGGAACCGTTCGATGTGTCTGTCACGACTTAGCTGGGGAACTGACAAATGGTGAGCTGCCGCCACGTCAGCACTTGCATTGGCGCCGTTTTGCAACTAGCATGACCTGCAATTCAAACTCGATAGTCAACTGCGGCGCCAGGCTCATTGCAGTGCAAAATTCAATGCAAAGGCATGCTGGAGAAATTCCTGCAGCCTGCAGGGAAGAAGGTTGGTCTCAGGCGCCTCTGAAGTTTGGTTCTTTGAAAATTGCATGGTGGCGCTAAGATTAAATTAGATCCAAAGTAGACGACCTGTTCGTTGGCCAGCTTAGTACTTCACTTCTGAATCTTAGCAAGTTTGTGGCGTCCTAGGTTAGATTTGGAAATCCTCTGGAGGCTGATTCGAGGTGTCTTTTTGGGTAGGGTGCCAGTATTAGAAGACCTAGATCTTACTTCTGGAACACATGTAATTGACAAAGTCCAGCAAGGCTTGAAGTTGGGCTTCACAAGTTCATATGTCAGAGCACAAGTGTGTTGAATTTTGGCCTTCATCTGTGGGTCTACAAGGTTGAGATCTCTGGCAGATATCCTAGACCCCCCAAGTCAGGGAAAACTATAGGACATGCGACTTCTTTGACCTTTCAGATCGTGTGACTTTCTAGGTAGCCACAAACTTACCGGGCGGGCTTAGCTTGTTTCCCACCTTCCGCATACAATCACCTTTGCACGGTCTCTTTGTAGCCACTTGATGGTGGGATCTGCTTCAGTGCAAGCTGTTACTTCAGAGCGCTGAAGTAGCAGGCTTTTCAAGGCAGGCATTCAACAAGACGGAGGCACTGAACTTCGATACTTAGCTTCTCGAAGAGGTGTAGACAGGCTGAGCGGAGGGGAGTGTTTCACAAGAGCAAGCCCTATATCAAGCGGACACCAGAGATCAGGCCCCCAGCATTGCCCATGTTTGGGGCACAGCCTCCTCTGCAAGGGTGGTTTGCAAGTTAGGGTTTGGTGGCTCGACAATGAAGCTGAAGCTGTCGCCCAGCATGCGGCGTATCACGATCACTGCACAGGAGGACTTCCATCCGATGGGCCTGAAAAGCGCCCCCGCCTGCTGTTCCTACAGCTGCGTGATGGTCAGCCTTTTAGGGTTAGCGCTCATCCTGCCTATGCTCTTCATCACCACGGCAATTGTCAAGCTAGACAGCATCGACAACTGTATAGACGGAGGTAAGATTGGTGGAGTCAATTCTTTTTGTCCATGTTTTATCTGCATCTTCCAAGGTGTTGATATGGTTCTTCCTGCTCGTGTCGAGCTTGAGTAGGCAAAAGGCATAACCACCTTGTTGTCTTTGTTGAGTCTCCGTAGGGTCAGGTATCAACAACCATAGTTTCTGGGTCAGGTATCAACAACCATAATTTCTGATGACAGGTTTTCGTGGTTGACCAAATCAGTCTCGCCAACTTTTTCTTGTAACGTAGCTTCCTTGTGTGTTGGTAAGGGCTGATGAAAGTAGTCAACACGCTTTAGTAAACTACGGTAGTTCCTCACAGTTCTTTGTGGACAAGTGTTTCTCAACCAGGTCTCATCAGTGGCCGCATGCTGTGTCAGGGGTCTGTGTTGTTATAGTCCTGGTTATCTGTGAGAATCTCCCAAATTCACAGTCTGGAACACCGTTGCAAACTGCGGCTTTGAACTCCCTCTTGAGTCAGCTTCTCTTTCTGGTAAAGTATTAATCAACAAACCTTTCTGACTTTGTTCGTCCAATGATCGCTGCGCGGCACCCGTCGTTTCTGGTTCGCAGACAACCAGCTTGCTGACTGACATATCGAAAGTGCCAGAGTTCTTTCCTACATACCAGTGCATTGGAATCGATGTGTCATGCTGCTCACACATAGTTGGAATCAGACTCGTTGTATCAGAATTGTTCTTTATGTTGTTGTTATGTTGATGTGTCAAACGGGTTGTGATAGAGTATTCGCGCTTGGGGAGCAAACAAGTTCCTAGCGGAGGTAGATTTGGTAGTGGCACGCTTCTGAATCCGTTAAGAAACTGACTTATAGACTTTTTTCTCACACAACACCGATCGTCCTTCACAGAATATTACACTTGCAGAGACTCAGTACTAACACCGATGAAAGACTTTCCCCACCAATACATCACTTTCGTTTGCAGAATGTTACACGCGCGGAAGGAAGATGTCCCCAACGGACCGAGCGGACGAGCTCGTTACCGGACTCCTAGATGTTCCCGTTAGTGTCGGACGGCAACTCAACGAAGAGCGGACGGGCGTGGGGGGAGATGCGGTTGTCGGGGAAAGAGAAGAGACGATCGACGACCTGATTGCGCAAGTTTCGGAGCTGAACGATGACAGCGCGAGCGTGATCCTGAAACTCCGAGCTTTGGTAAGACATGACCGCTTGAATCCGCTTTTGCTGGTCCAATCAAGGTTTGTGGAAGCAATCAAGCCGGTTCAGTGTTCCTTAAACAGGGCTCCCCTTTCCATTCTCGGCCTGTTTCTAGAGTTGTGAAAGATACGGTCTCTCCTACCTGTTAGACCTTCGTTGATGTAACCAAAAGGGGGAGTGCATCAATATTCAAGAGCTCACTGAAGAGCAGGCTGACTAAGTAGCTCCTACAGACTAGGTAGCGCTTACAGGTTGTACCGTTGACTGATCAGATGCGAATCCTGATCTTCTCTGAATCCTTCAGTACCCTGGGTAGCCTTCTCTCAGTTACGAAAGTCAATTGCGCATGTTCGCACGCACTCATTCGTTGCTTCTCACCCGATTGTCCAGATTGAGTTTTGAATCTTTAAGAAAAATCCTTGACTTAAAAAGCGCAAAGTTCAGACCCCTGCAAAGTTCGTTTGCGAATAGGTCGACTTGCAGAAAGGCAAAGCGCACATTGCCGCTCTCTGCTGTAATTGATCTTTCTCCGCATTTTGTACATCATCTGGCATAGGCACCGAAACCCTGGACCCTAGGTCTGTTGATCCTAGAGTTTTGCGATCTCCGGAGATTGAGGTGCATAAGGGCACGCCGTTCGCTGTTCTTTGTGTAATTCGATTTCGAGGTCACCGTCACCCTAAACAACTGAATCTAGAGTCCATAACTTGAGGTCCAACAACGGTTTATTTTAACCTGATGAATCCTGCAATCTCTTCGGGTTGAGTGCATGAGAGGGCAGGTGCGAACTCTGTGTGCCGCCGGTTTTTCTCGCAGCATCTTTGGTTCTTGTGAGTTTAATCACCAGAACCCTCAGAACTCTGGGAATTTCCGCAGGTCGAGGTGCACGAGGGCAAGGCGCACATGGCCGCTCCTCCTGTTTTTACTCGTTTGTCTTCGCTTCCTTCGGCCACCATTATTCGAAATCTGAGATCTCAAAACTTCAAACTCTGCTTCTAGACCCTTGAACCTCATGGAACCCTTCGCTTTCCTTAGGTCGAGGTGCACGAGAGTAAAGGCGCTCGTGGCTGCTCGCTTGTTCTCTATGTTCTCTGTTCTTTAGTTCTCCGCTTTTCTGTTCAACGTAACTCCAAAACTTGGTGCCTATCTTTGTACTTTCACTGCTTCTGTGGATACCAATAAGACAACCCTAAACTCACTGCCAGGTCGAGGTCCACGAGGGCAAGGCGCGCATGGGTCCTCGCTCTGTTCTTCAATCATCGGCTCTCCGCTTCTCTTGTCAACCGTACCCTAAACTTTCAGAACCTAGTATCAGTTATAACATGTCCAGTGACTATAATAGACATCACTTTTTGACTAATCTACACTTTCCGCAGGTTGAGGTGCACGAAGGAAAAGCGCGCATGGCCAAGCTGCAGCGTGCGCTGTACCGACACTTCGCCTCGAAAGGCGTCCCCAAGGGCCTGCACTGCCTCTCGCTGCGGTTAACGGCTGACTACAGCACCAACCCCGAAGCTAACCGCCCGCTTGCGGGGCCCGAGGAGATATCCCGGCTGACCGACAACTCGCTGCGCCACTTCGTGCTGCTGTCAGACAATGTGCTGGCAACTAGTGTGGTGGTTAATTCGACGGTAAGCATGTTGCGAAGCTTCGATGATGACACCCGTATGCTCGATGGTTGGACGACTTAAAGATTTGTGCAGGGAGCTTTGTAAAACTTCGTATCGTAGCCTCGAGTCTGTTGCTTATCAGGTCGAGGCTTGTCGCAGGAAAGACAATCATTGGGCCTTTCGAGAGCTCGCTATTTTCAATCACAAGCACCTGCATATTCAGAAGAAATCAAGGACGACAATTTGTCGAGAATTGTCTTTAGTGCCTTCAGAACTTCGACCCGTCTTTGAAGTGAGAAGCTGAGTCTCGTTGGAGCAAACTATTGAACAGTTCACTTTGCTTTTTTGAATGCGACCTGCGCATACATATGAGCACCGGCAACGAGTATCCCGACTACAGTATCAGAGATGAATAGGCTCGTGAACGAACGACACGCGTCACAATTCGCAGGTGACAAATGCCAAGGAGCCCGAGAAAGTCGTCTTCCACGTAGTAACGGACGAGACGACGTATAGCGCGATGCATGCTTGGTTTGCCTTGTTCCCTCCGGAGCCGGTGAGTTTCAGGACTCGCTCGGGAAGAAGCGAGCGTTATCACGACCGCGAAAAATATGAATCTTCGGAAGGGGCTCAGAAGTGCGTAGTGCAGATCTGAGGACGTCCCACAGAAAGACGTCTCATGCTTTTCCAGTTCTCCACATAAGAAGTGGTTTTGAGAGCGCTCAGTGCGGGCCAAGAATTGATTTAGAAAGCGTTGCATCATTACCTGGTATAGTTTGAACGGCCGAGATAGATTCCGAAATGTGTGTGCTTCTCAGCACGCTTGAAGTCACTTGGACCATGAGTGGCGACCTTCTCTGGTACTGCCTTTCCGAAAGCTGTGAAATGCAGACAGCAATTTTGACATTTTGATTGACACGAAGCTCTCTGATGAGACTCGTTTGAAGAGCGGATCATCTGTAGATACGCTCCTTGTCCAGAAAGGCAGAACCAGGAAGTGAAGCTTTGTTCTGGCCGCACCCGCTCACGGTACGGGTCTCCGGTGCGAGCTTCACATTGGTAATTAGACTCTGATTCGTAAGATACAAGTGTGAGACGAAAACCCGATTCTCAAATTGTTTTCTGATTCCACTCGACGATCAAGGTGCGCAGCGTGCACGAGATGCAGTGGCTGATGGCACTCAAGGCGCCCGTGCTGGACCTCGGTTTATCGACCCTGAAAAGTTGGTTCAGATAACCCAAAACCGTCCTTCACCCACCTCGTCGTCTTCTCTTAGGCAAGGATTGAAGTGCGCCGCGTCCACGAGATGCATTGGCTGAAGGCAGCCAAGGTGCCCGTGCAAGAACATAACTCTTTGACCCTGAAACTTAGGTCGGGCTAACCCATATCTTCCTTAATTCACATCTTCGTTCGTTCTCAGGCCACGATCAAGGTGTGCGGCGTTTCACGAGATGCAGTGGCTGAGGGTGCTCAGTCTTTCCGAAACCAAAATTGACATTGCGATTTCCACTTCGTGGATTGGTTCCCTAATTCTGAGGATGCAATCATGAAACTGGTAACCCAATCTCTAAACCATTTGTTTTTCCAGGCGACGATCGAGGTGCGCGGCGTGCACGAGATGCAGTGGCTGACTGCGGCGAAGGCGCCCGTGCTGGACCTGATGGAAAACTCACTCGCGCTGCAAAAGCTCAACTACGGGGACCGGATCTTAGAGGAGGCCGCGAACGATCCACCGCAGGTGAGCCATCCATCATCCTCAGAAAGTGGCAGCTTTTGGACAGTCGTAGGATAGTCATTCTGGTTTAGGAGTCTTGGGGTGTCAGCGCCGCTCATGTCGGCTCTCAACGCTTTGAAAGCCTATGCCCTGGGGACGGTTTCTTCAAAGAGAGGCCTCCGCAAAGTCGCGGTCAGCATGATGTCGGTTTGAGATTTGAGCCTTCCAATGGCTGCAAGCCCTTGCCCATAAGAACTCACCTGCGAGCCTCGACTCAAGCAAACCCGGTTATGGCAAGCTCAGTCCTCCCTTCAGTCAACCTGACCACAAACTTAGGTACTTTGCTTAAAGTCTGTTGCCAAACGCACTCAACCACTTGAAGATTTTGGCAGCGAAGTCCCAAGCGCGTAGCCCCAAGTTCGTCTCAATCATGAACCCTCAACGACTTTCAAATGAAGCATTCTCCGCTTCCCCTAGCCCACCATGCATTCAGTTTCCGACTCGTGGCCTCGATCTCAGCGAAGAGTTCTGAACTTTCATCCCCAAAATAAGTTCATCGCTATACTAGTTACTGGCGGCGAAGCTGAGGTTGGGAGCCCCAAGTTTGAACCACCTGGGACCTTTGTTTTCAGCGTAACCCGTTTCTCGCCAAACCTAAAATCCACGTTCGATTGATAATTCAAACCTGACCAGCAGCTCGGTCCAGTCTGCCTGATTCCACTTCTCAAACATTTTTGACACCTTTTCAGGTGCTAGCGGCCAAGCTGCAGGCGTGCAGCCCTAAGTACATTCCCATCTCCAATCCCTTCGAATCAAGCAAACCCCGTTTCCCCCAGCTCCAACCCAACTACAATCAATGCTTGACCTTTTCTCTCAAAGGTAGCGTCTGAGATTCTAACCCCAAACATACCAACCGCAGTTGACCATTAATCAACCGCTTCTAACCACCCTTAACCGGTTTTTTCAGGTGCTGGCCGCAAAGCTGCAGGCGCGCAGCCCCAAGTACATCTCCATCATGAACCACTTGCGGATGTACCTGCCCGAGGTGTTCCCCGAGCTGGACCGCATCATCTTCCTGGATGATGACGTCGTCGTGCAAAAGGACCTCACCGGCCTTTGGGAGATGGACATGCGCGGGAAGGTGAGGGCGCAAGTTTTGGAACGCTTGACGTCTTGAACCCGTTAAACCACCTGACGGTTTTGGATCTTTGTCGGAATACTTTACGTTCTTGAGACCTGCGGGATTCTTGACGTTCTTGCATCTGCGAGATGATTGGACGAGTGAGGCTCCGACGTTGAATTGGAGGAATCAAGCAGCTCTGTAGTTGTAGACAGGGCACGACGATCTGACCGGAAGTACACTGCAAGGGCAAGGTCGGTTGTGCGCTCGTTCTGGGCTGTTGCCGTGTCGAGATTCGGCTCAGCTCCAAGTCTTTGATCTCAAGCTTACTTTGAGCTCTTTACGCTGCATGACCATCCTCATCGCTGGAAAGCACCTTGACGTTTTAACCGCCGAAGGACTGTTACAGACCTGTGCGTCGATTTTTGAAACTTTAATAAGATTCACATGATGTATTTTTTGAGAGTTTGAGAAGATTCATATGATGCATGCTCTGAAGCGGGGCCAGCCGAGGGGAGGCGTTGGAAGTAGGTACTGGCGTGTTACATGTTCGAAAGTTTCAGGAGCTTCTTCAATGCGAGGTGAACTGTGCGGTTTACTGTTAAGCCGGTGCTCCCCGTCCTGAGCAACCTCCCGATTAAGCCTTTCCATCAAATTCTCTCCTTTCCTGTACTCGGAATCGCAGTCTCTCTCGACCGATCATGCATTTTTATCGATGTTCACCCGCGCCCCTTGGAGATTGGCAGAGGATCACTAGCAGATTGTTTCCCACTAGCAGATTGTGGAAACAGAGATCATTTTCACGTCATCGTGTGCTAGGGATCAAAGTTTGGGGGTCTTCTGCTTCTTTTACTCTCGCAAAGAGTAACAAATCGTTTCGCGCTACTGACCGAGACTGTCTGCGCCAATCCTGAGCAGGTAAATGCGGGCGTCGAAACCTGCCGGGGGGCCGACCGCTTCGCTCTCAGCAAGCAGTTCCGGTCGTACTTCAACTTCTCGAACCCCCTCATTGCGGAGCACTTTGCGCCCGAGACGTGCGCCTGGGCGTTCGGCCTGAACGTGTTTGACCTCAAGCGCTGGCGGGAGTCCAACATCACCGAGACGTATCACCACTGGCAAAAACAGGTGAGGCGCAGGCTTCTCTGGACTTTGCCCACGTGTCTTTGTTTGGCGTCTGAAGGACAGTATCTGTGGAGGGGCTGCTTTGTCTGAACATTCGACCCTCAGGAGGCTCCCGAGTCTGACCGCACCGAAACATAACCCCGCTGGGAAAAGCAGGTTAGGTGCATATTTTCATGACTTTGCAAGCGTATTTTTCCTTGAGTGTTTCCTTTCTTTGGCTTGTGAAGGCATTCCTCCCTCGGAGGATCTTCTTTGCTTGAATGTTCTGACACGTAGGAGGCTCCCGAGATCGACACACGGAAGTTTACCACCGCTGGTAAACTAAGGTGAGGCGCACCTGTTGCGCGCAGTCAGATATTGCCGCCGAACCTCCAAGCAGTCTTTTTTAGCTGCAAGAGGCGTGGTGGCTGAGGCAGGGTTTTCAATGTGCTGGTGGAAAATTGTAAGCGTACCCTGGGTATTTCTGTTCCGACTTGATGGATGTTGCTTGAAGGGTTCTTAAAGTCCAAACGGAACGGATATTCTGACCCTTACACGCTTTCTTCCAGCTGTTCATGCAGCTCGAGAATGCTCGTCTTTCTGGGCTGTTGCCATTCGATAATGGAACGTGATTCGAGGGCAGCGACTGTATAGCCAGCGAGGAATCAGATGTCCGGCTTTTCTGATGGACTCGTAGGCTTCTGCTGACATCAGCCCGTTCCTTTGCAGAACATGATGTTGAACATGACGCTCTGGCGGCTCGGAACGCTTCCGCCCGCCCTGATAGCGTTCTACGGTCACACCCTCCCGCTAGATCATAGTTGGCACATGTTAGGTCTTGGGTATCAGCCCGATAGCAGTATAGAGGTCATTAAGTCGTCAGCGGTAATCCACTACAACGGTCCTGCAAAGCCATGGTTAGACATGGCTTTCACGGATTTTCGGTCGTATTGGACTAGATGGGTGGATTACGGTAATGAGTTCGTCCACCAATGTAATATTTTCCAAATGAGATGAACAAAATTAAGTAGTTCTGCACGCAACTTGCTTTTCCGCTGTCTCTTGAGTCGTTTCTTTTCACTTCGTCCATGTCTCTGACTGGGGAAGACACGTCTCCTCGTTCACCCGGACCTATGATTCTTGATGTCTTACTCCTTGCAATGTGACTGGCATTGGTAGGCGGCGGCGGCCGGAATTGTTGGACAGGGAAAGCCTAGACACAGGTGTCGAATCAAAGCATCAGGCTGTCCCACACGTGGCCAGTCATGATTTGGCTACTCTCATGGTACAATTCCATGACTCAGTGATGATTGATGCGACGGTGATGCCTTATAAAGAGGGTGTGCTAAGGTAACATTTAAGGCCTGGCAATGATCCTCATGATGTCAGTGACGCGCATCACCGATCTGAGCTTTAAGCAGGCGCTGCATGACCGTTCCTTTATACCCTCAGCTAAAGACTTGATCGCGCGGATAAAAGGAATTGGATATATACTTGTTTGTTATAATTAGTACGTATGCATCAGTGCATGTATGGCCGCATGCTAACCTACAGCCTAGAGCTTATCGTTTAGTAACTTGAATCAACCATGCGCGTACATACTTGACTTCGATCCACAAGCTACCTATGGTGGGTCTCGACGGTATCGACCGCGCGACGGTCCGGTCTCAAATTTCTTACACCGGTGTTACGCGTCGCGACGAATTGTGTACGCGGCACTGACGACCGTACTCGGCAGTACTTGAGAATCAGGTCTGAGTTCATGAATTGAACTTTTTCTGACACGTCGATCAACGGTCAAGTGCGTACTATGCGGAGGTACGGTACCGCTCGAGTCTGCGCGTACATCGATTATGAAATTTATGGTCTTGGTCGGAACTTCCGACTTGAACCACGCAGGAGTACCGCGGTACCCACACTGAAAGGAGAGTGGAGGGATTTGATAGAGCAGTGTAAGGAAAGGCGCTCTGCAAAAATCAACAATGGCGGCCCACTTTGCGCCTCCTATGCTGTTTCTTGAGATTTGTCCTGAACAAAACATGATGTTGGAGCTTGACCTCTAATGACGCCCTCCCAACATTTTTTTGCTTGTCAAAGGTTTCTATAAGCTGCATAAGCCTCCTCATAGTGTGGCATTTTTATGCTTCTGTCAAAGTTTAAATTAAAACACTCTGTTACACCATATGACACTCGGTTACGGCCGAGCAAATTTTTGAAAGTACTCGTTGGGTACATGTTACGGAAGTCCGAGTCGTCGTAACGTGAACCGCCGGTACTACTGACGAAATTCGATACCGGGTCCCACATTTTCGTCGCGGTTTGAGTCGCGAAGTCGACTCGGCCGCGGGACCCACCATAGGTAGCTTGTGTCCCAGAGTCCTCGATCGCACCATGTTTGCGTCGCGAGGCACGTTGCGCTGATCAGTGTGCAGGATTTAGCTGGATTATTTTTTGCATGTACGTACATGGTCGGATCGCGTGACCGTCGGTTGCCTAGCTTCAGCTGCCGCCCGCCCTGATCATCATTCAAACCTAGCTAGATATTCTGGCAGCTAGCTAGCTAGTGAATCTGCGGGTGCTGCAGCGTGACTGCGCGTGACACCGTGTACATAGCTCTTGAACAGCTGTGTCAGGCTGGAGTTCAGTCGCCATTTGACTGGGCTGCTCGATTGATAAGAATCTGACCACAGGCTGTAAGATGAGTACAGCTAGGTTGTTTGAATCTTCCACGTTAGGCTGCATGACCATCGATCCGCAATCATGAGAACCCGTACATACAAAACATCGCATACTGAGTCGTATTTGCACTCTAGAAGATGCTTCATGTCACTCCGTCTTCGAATCAAGAGTATGTTCATTTGTGGGGAAGAGTGTTTATGAAGAACCTGACTCGTGGAGTAGTCGGTGTACCTTCTAGGATTCATGCTACGCGGCCTTTTTAATGATCAACCAAGTCAACTTGCTGAAAATCGACCTCGTGTCCAGATTGCCAACGGTAAGTTCAGTCTGGAAAACAATTCCGGCAGATTGAGTGAGATGGTTCTGTACATAGTTTGATACGTCCACGCTATTCAAGTCGAAACACTAATTATCATTCCCACCGTTCACAGTTTGTAACGCAACAGTTGCCTTTAATAAGGTTCCTACCGCACTATCTTGCGCTTGCAACCGTTGGCTGGAGCTCTGACTCCAAGGACTTCATTTTCTTCTCTAACCCTCGTACTGCATCTTTGAAAAGCCGAAGTAATAACCAGCTCATCACGGCTTCGAAGTACCTGCAAGCCGCAGAAGGTTTTTCTTGTCAATTAACCTGGAGTTGATTGGAGCAATCCCCTGCTCTACCTCGCCTCTGCAAAGCGAATTTCATTAGAAGATTCCGTAAGGACGTAACATGAATTCAACGGACCTGGAACGGACCTGGAGGTTGGACGTACTTTTCGAATAAAACCGTCACAACCGTCACATGACGAACATCACCGTCAAGGAAGCTGAGGACCTTCGAGATCCTTCAACTGTATCAAGACTACATGGCCGACAAAGAGAGAAAGAGACAGGAGTCAACGGGGACAGAACCGCGTTTGGAATGTGCAGAGAGAAACACAGTCTCGGCGCACTCCTGCCGAGAAAGCGGCCGCACGAAGCAGTGCAACTTGATGCAAAGACACAATCCTCACACAATCCCTGGAAATGTTGCGCTTTGAACGGCAGGTCGTTTTTCAACCGCGAGTTAGAGATGCGCACCGTACAACAGAACTTGAGCGCACCTCGGTCCACAACTGAAGAAAACTCGGAACGCTCGTACTTTTGTCACGACTCGAGCAGCCTTTTGAGTCCTCCCCACCAACCATCAACCTGCTGAACAGTTGCTGACCGTCCAAAACAATCTATCCATCAACGTAATTGTAAAGAATACCAAACGGCTCGTGAAGAATCGTCTTCACCTGTACCATCCAGTCAGCTGGATCTCGGAGACGTACGTCACTCGCACGAGGCTGGGGTCTCGATCGTCCCTTTGAAACCACAGGCTGTCGTAAGAGTCGTGGAAATCGGACACGCCGTAGATCTTCATAAACCGAGGAGGCTCGTACTGAAGAATCTCATATCTGCAGCATCGACAGAGACTCGGCTCATATGCATTTCTGAAAAGATGACTGCAGATGAAACGGAGGTAGAAAAGATCAGCGCAGCTTGAGAAACGCAGGAGATCTAACACTTGGCTGCCGAGTCCCTTCAATGACCGACTGCTGATGAAAACGTGCAGAAGAGAGATTGACGCGGGAGATTGGTAGGTTGTCCGTCTTTCGTTCTTCCGGTATTTTCTCATTCTGCTCTGCCAACAGTGAAAAAAGGCGACGAAAATGTTTCCAGAAAGAATCGTGGAAAGCTCTCGTTCGAACAGTCGACTCGTTTTGGGAGTGGTGCAGCTTACACTGTGGGAGTCACGTAGCCAAGCAGGACGGTCCTCAAGTTGAACTGCGTTCCCACCCCCAGTGGGGCCTGCTTCGGCCTTGTGAGCGACGAGTCTTTGTGAGCACTGGGTGTTCCTGCAAAGTGAAGCATGGAGAATCAGCATGAAAGATCCTTCCTTGAAATTCTCCACTTAGTAGGCGATTAAGGTCGTGCACACACTTTTCCCTTGATATACATCATGGATTGATAAGATGTGTGGAACGTGCAGGGAACTCGACAAACAGTGACAGAGAAAAATTTGAGACCAGTACTGAAGAAGTTGCAACGGCAGGATGAGCGGGAAGCTCAGCTCGGTCTCAATCTCCAGTCTAGGTGACGAGATAGGTTGGCTTGATGCACAGTGGGATTCACCAGGACATGGCTGATTGGTCAGCTTAGATTAACTCCTTCCATGACTTTCTTTCCGTTCGTACCTTGTAGACTACTTCTTCCTTGCTTTGGCTGTCGTCAGTTTGAGATTCGACACTTTCAGCGAACTCTTCATGATATGTGCCTTGGTCCAACCACCTATGGCAGGTATCGTAAGCAGCGACAAGGCCCAACTTCGTCCTTATCTGTATTTTCTGATCAATCATACTACTTTAGTGCAGTCTTCTGAGTGAAAAACTGGAGCTAAGAAGCACATGCTGGTCAGCATACCTGGATCCCACGCATCGATGTTCGAAAAGTCACTGGCATACTCAAACACCTTCTGCAGGTCTCCCTTAACCGTAAAAGTATGCTCCCCTTTCAGACGCATAAACACTCCATGTGTCTGCCTGCGAACCTGCTTTGCCTTCCGTTCTGAATCTGCTATATGAAGGGGTCTCCCAAGATAACGCGAGTTTGAGCATGAGAGCGTCTTGAAACCTTGCTCAGGACGTTTCCACGACTGCTCTCCAACACCAGACACATCTCGAGTAACAGACGGACGCTTGAATAGACGTCTAGCAGCTGGAAACGGCAGTACTTTGGATGCTGAAACCAGACTGCATTCTGCCGTTTTCGACTCGACCTGTGTCAATCTGCTACTCCATCTTGAGCTGGACAGAGGTGTTGCCCTGCAAGCGGACGCCATAGAACCAATCAGCAGAATCTTGCGCCTTCTTGGAGTGACACTCCTTTCAGCGCAAAATCTCCAACCATCTACGTTTGAAAGGAGAAGATCGAAAAGTGATCAACTCATTGGGAGGCGACTTGCAGTTCTGAGACTACGGTTGGATTGCCGTTCTACAGTGGTGTAACGCTTCTTGGCAGACCAAAGCTGCATGAAAATGCAGAAGCATCAAAAAGCCCCCATGCGCCTGATTGACTTGAGACTTCTTTGCAGTGTATCACTGCATGCGAGTCTGGGCCCAGTGCATGCACTTTTTGGTTGGCGCCTTAACCATGGTTTCTGCTGAGGGCATGCATGCAGAGTTGCCACGACCCAAACCCCCCAGTTTGCATGGGAAACCCACTACTTCTGCCAGGCGGCAGCCTCCGAGTCGCCGCGCGGCGGGGCGCGCGCGGATTGGGCGGCCGCACGCGGCCCGCAAAACACTACGCGGCGTGTGCGCGGCCGCCTCAGGGCGAAGGGACGATTCTCACACCCTCAGCCTTCTCTTAAAGCTTTTGAACTGCCGCCGTAGTGAAAGCAAGACACGGGCAAGACACATGCCAGGAAACACCCTCACAGGCAGCTCAGGGCCGCCCGGGGTTCTTGGCAACTGACATCAAGTAAGGGGGCAAGCTGAGGAGCGTTTCGAGAAGAACAGGACTGCTGCTTTACATTACTCCACTGAACATGGTTCACAATATGGTGATCCTGAGTCAATGAGATCATTAGTTATGATCACGATGAGCAGCAGAACATCTGTACTGCCCGGTAACTGCAATGGGCGTGGGACCCCAATTGCAATAAGTACCAAACTATTATCCTGATTTGCAATGCGTCAGCTTCGACGAGCTCGGTAGCGCTAAATTTGCGGATTGATATGCATTACTGAGTCACCCTTCAAACGAGGTCACTGAGGCAAAAGGCATTCATTGTCATGACGGATCTGATTCGATGCGCCCCCGGCGCGCTGGTCCGGTACTTCGCCGACCTCGCAGGCTCCAGTCAACGATTGCCACCGAGAGAGCTTTGAAGTCACTTCATTGACGTTTGTAAGCACCAGTGCGCGGCTGGTCCGTTGCTGATTGGGAGCTGACTGACCGGCCTGTACGGCGGGATCTGCATGTACTAGGTTTATCGACAACAGCAACACCGACGTGATTCGATCATATATAGTCGTATTGATGTCTGGACCGTCTCGATAGGAGCTGGCAGGCCGCGGGGGAATCTCCCATAGGATATGACTATACTTGTGTGTTTAGATAGGGAGGTTACGGTCTCACGAGGCCCAGTAGCTGAGTACGTTTTCTTTTGAGAGCCGCGCGCGCCTTGCATGTACATGTACCGTACTTGTTAAACGGAAGAGCATCCATATGAACAACTTCCGTAGAATTATAGCTGGTGAGACGCCAAACATCTCCAGACGTGTCGATCGACAGTCATGGCTTCGGAGAAGGAGACTAGTGAAAACTTTTCACAGATAGCTTTTGATCACTGGCAGGGTGGGCTGACCGATCAAGAATGGGCAGACGCGAGCTCCGTGCAGAGGGGCAGTATGCTCCGGGCCCTCATGAGCGGGGCACTGTCTCACATCATTGGATATCGGAGCTGGTCCGATCAGCTCAGCAACCCGAAGGCGGACTGGAGGCCAGAATTGAGAGCGCCTCTGCTTGACACGACGTACCTTTGTACGTAAGAACACCAAGTCAGTTCCACACTTGGATCAGAGACGACGCTTGCAGAAGGTCGTCGGCTCAGAACGTTCTGGGACCGTCTTCCCTGACCTTGAGACGGCCGACAGACGCGTGGAAAGTCAAGCGACTCATTGGGCGCTACGAAGGACGATCGTCAATCTTTTCAATGCTTATGATTTGCAAAGAGGCTTCCCTTACAAGCTTTGACGTCTTCGATTGTTCTTGTCATCTAGTTGGCTGCAACACGAAAACCGTGAAACTGTATCTATATATGGATCACACTTCAACATAAGTTGCTGTATGAAAGCTCTTCATTCAGACACCTAATTTGACGGTCCAGTAATGTCAACTATCTACTCGGTTTAAGATCCTCAAACGTCGTGACCTGACGCGCGAATCATTGAGTGCATAAGCTTAAGCAACTGCGCCTACGTGGTTCCGACATTTAAGGAATATGGTCGGCTACGGGGTTGTCAATAACTTTGAGTTGCTTCTCCCTACTCATAGCGGTCTCTTTGTCCACTCCTCCAGAGGCCCCCAATGATGTTGGTATCTTCAGAATCTTGTGAAGATGCTTCAGCTTGGCATGACGTCCAATAAGGGCCAGACCCATCGATACGGCTATGGTAGCAGCGAGGACGATCCAAAGGCCAGAGACCTGCATGAGAGGGCGAGCAAGCGGCTTGTGGACTCAATGATATGCAACAAGTTTTCAGATTATGGACCGGGATTTAAGGGGGAGAAGTGCTGCTTCAGAACGGACCCTAAATGCGAAAGCGGTTGCAAACCCATATTCAACGGAAGGACCCGGCTGTCTTTCCTTGGAGCGGTGTTTCAGAAAGATGAGACAACGGAGAAGCAACATGAAAGAGACAGGTTCCGAGGAGAACTTCTAGCCACCTTTTCAAAGAGCCGGTTCGTGCCGTCCGGTTAAACAAAGCATAAAGATTGTCGTTCCAAAGAATCTGACTGGGACTGTCCTCCAATAAGCGGCGCCGACATGGCAGGAAAGAACACCGGAGCAACCTAAAATACTGGAGCCAAAACCCGCCTGTAAAGCTTCGCACGTGAAACAAGTTGGAAGTGAAGCAATCAGTGCCCGGTCGCGAAGCAATGATTAAGCTGGTCGGAATCCCCCACCTGATTGAATGTGACCTGCTGTTCCGCGCCGGCTGCCTCCTTCTCGCATATTGTCGAAGTAGGCTCGATGAAAACCTTGTGAAGATGCGAGAGCTCAGAAGTTTCCTCCAGCGTCAAAATTGCGGTGCTAAACGCGTCAACCAGGGACGTGGTTGCGTTTTGCCAGAAGGCCAACGCTCGGTTGTCCTCCGTTATGCAGTCCCCAACCTGCATCAGTGAACCAAGGTGGTTTACATATAGGTCCTTGCTCAGCTTCTTTCGCTGGTCACTGACGGTATGTTGCAACGCGCTTCTCTTCAGTGCTGCAACTTACGGTGGATCTGCGCAATCAACTCCCTCAATACAATAAAGATTTGCCATGCCAGAAATGCAAACCTCAGGCCGTGGCTTCTGCACACCTCGATGATCAACGAAGTGAGGATGAATACTGCACCTTACAGAATTCACAACGTGTCGCGGTCGTGTAGTCCACATATCCACAATCCCAGACGAGGCCCTCGATGGCTCCCGTGACAAGCTGCTGTAGCATGTCTTCTGTTTCATCCGCGTTCTGCCTGTGACGAAGTTAAGAGAGCCTCTGAGGTGAATGAGGACCCTTTGCTGGGGTCTGCCATTGTTTGAGCACATGTAAGTGCTTGCGAATCCAACTGAGAGGGTTTCCTACCATCGTTGGGAAGGAATGCTGAACAAGTGGAACAGCTTCACAACAGATTTGCCACCAGAGCTTTCCGCGGACAGCACGAGTCAGATACACACGCCGACTCGGTCTCGTGCTCACACTTTGGTCTCTCAGACTCTCTCGGGATCCTAAAGAAGGGGCTGGGACGACGTAAGCAGTACGGATGCACGCATCTTAATCCAAGTGAAGCAAGTCGAGGTGAAGTAAGAAGTAAGTCTCTCTGTCCGGTAAACGAGGTGCAAGGATTTGACTTACGGGGCAAACAGTACGGTTGGACTCCAACCGTTTAGGTGCATGATGTCAACTGTATTCCTGTAGGCACCCCAGCTCCTTCCTTGCAGATCGTTGATTGCTGCACGACACAGGCAATCAATGTAAGAGTCTCCAAGCTTGCTGGACCTGTTGGCTGGCATGACTGGATGCGGGATAGTCTCGAGTCAAATTACTGTGCTTGTGAACTTTTGACGCCACGAAATGTACAAAAATATTTTCAACGAGCTAAACGAAGAAAAGCTGGAGCCTCGATTCGGATAGCTCAGAAATACCTTCAGACAATTTTGATACTAAGAGCTCCTCAAAAGCAGTGTCGAATCAGTGGATTGGCGACTCACATTGAATGCTCACGTCAACCTGCGAAGCCGTGAGGATGGCAGCGGCGTTTCCAGTATACATGGCCACCAAGAGGAGGATGAGAAAGGCCCAAACGAAGATGATGATCCGGGATGGAAAGGAGAAAGCTCTCATTGGGTCTGCTGCGTTCACAATCTGCGCCCCCGCTGCAGGAAACGAAGCACTTTTGATTGATACAAGTTCAAATCCAACGCTCAACAGGTCAAATGACGTGCTTTCAGAGGTCACAAGAAGGTGACAACGTAAACAACCTAGGGCTTGCCATCAACTCTGTGCACAGAACGCACTTTGGTAGAAAAGCCGGCTGAAGAAGAGCAGCTTTGTCTCCTGAGTTCCTATATACTGCTCTTTCTATGAAAGATCGAACATTGGCGGTTAAGGTTGCAGCTTATGAAGTGCTTAGGTCTGCTTCCGCCTCCTTGTTGTTCTAAAATAGCGCCTTGATCAGAAGGCCGCCATACGCGAAGCTCGAAATCTGCCAAGGACCGTCTAACCCATGCAAGTCGTTCAACTCGTACACTCCTGTGCGTTTGTCCTATTTCTAAAAAGGGTCGACTTTGAAGCAGCTTCAAAGTGGCCTGCTCTTGAATGACTGCTGCAAAAGGTGATAGAAGTATCCTAGCAGCTCAATCGGACTTTCAGACTTACCAGACCACACCAATTCCACCACGCCAGCATCGTCAGCTGTGTCGTCGACGCGGTTGGCTGCTTTAGGCTTTGACACGATCTCTACGACCCGGGTTGAGACGCCCACCGCCAATGCTACACGCAAAGTGTTTCAATGCATCAGGAAGCAGCCCGGTGCACAGTCTTCGATGGCTGATTCCTCACAGGACTAAAAGTCTCGATATGTAGTAGTCCTGACGCTTGTGTATGACTTTCATTTTGGAATGGTATTTTTTCCTAGCTTGGGCCTGATCATGATTGTGTTTATCTGCAGCCTTCATGCTTCCTTTATTCTCTGCAACTTTATCTGGGTAAGGGGAATCATACTTGCCAGAAAGTGCTCTAGAAACGTTTCATGCCCCTTTACCTAGACGAAAGGATAAGTGCTCCAGGAAGCTTACCGGCAAGGAACAAAAACAACCAGACCACCCAGTTGAAAGGTCTCAAAAACAACCACTTGTTGGTCTTTTTGCCGCTTGCATAGACCTGTAAGATGCATTTGATCAAGGATTAACCCCTTGTGGCAATTGGACATCAAGATGACTGAGGATTGTGTCCCCAGTTATTGATCCATCTCGGAAATAGGGTACAGCTGTAAGAGAGATTTGCGCATTGTCGTCCAATCCTAGCAAAAGAAGGTGAGCAGACTAAAGGAAGCGACCTGAAGTTTATCGAAAGATGCAGAAGATCAACATCCAGTAGGTTCCAAGTTGACACTTTTGAGCCTGAAGTCATTGTAGTAAGGTACTTTCACAGATTTACCATGTACAAATTTCGAGGATACACATGTGACGGTTTGCTTACCATCAGCCCCTGACCCGTGTGATAGTCTGGATATGCAAACCGAATTCCAGCTTCAACCCTCCTAAGCTGGATCTGCAACAGCACAGAGCTCAACCGCATGAGACCAGGGTCACGAGACTGGGGAAATACAAATACGCAATAAACTTTAAGCAAAGAACCCTAATCCTGTGGCTGTTGAAGGTCTCTTTTGATCACGCACGGACCCTTTGTTCGTGCTTTCAGACCATATTATTAGATATTAAATGGAAATCCTTAACTGAGTCTCAACATGCGCAAGAACCTCAAGAACAGTTTCGATGCACTTTTTCCACAGGCATCCTGTTCGATTGCACCTCTATGCTTGACCATCTAACCAGGAGAACTGCAGACGGAAGGCTGTTTGCAGCGAGCTTAACCTACCGTTATGCTGGCCGTTGCCATGTCACATATGCCGTTGGGGTCTGTCAGGTCTCTAAGCATAGCAGCATATGTCAGACAAACAAGCCGGTAGTTGTTTGGCTTCCAGCCGACTATGCTGGCCGCCCTCTTGAACATTTCCGGAGAATAGCCTGCTTGATATGAAAAACACCAAAAATCAGATAAAGTTGTGATAAACGTGGGCTCCTTCAAGCCACCAAAGTGCTCTACAGAAGAATCTAGGCCGGTCAATGAGTTATAAATCAAGAACACTGTAACGTAATTGTAAAGAGACACAACCTGTGGCCTTGGTCCAACATCTAAGTCCGGCTTACTGTCCTTGAAGTGTGCATGTTGCAGCCACTGGTGTCATTCAGGCAATCAATATTCAGACTTCTGCCATCTCAAAGTGGAAAGTTCTCGGGGACGCGAGCTTCTGGTCACAAGCGTCCTTTCAGGTAAGCATATCAAGTTGCTGATGGTGCTTGGAAGGGGCTCAAGGCTCTCAAGCTAGCCAATGCAGATTACAAAGCCACCTGACCTTCTGATGTTCTGCCGTCAAAATTGACTTGATGCTGTCAATGGCTATGAACAAAAGGCCATGCAGGGGCTCAATCAATTAAACCTTTGCAGCACCTTTGCGCCATGGATGCTTACCTGAGAAATTTAAAGGGCTTGAGTTCCCCTCAATGCAGTGCACGTAGGGTGCGAAAGAGGCGGTGCACACTGTGTAGACCTCTCTTGCATAGATTGTTCCATTTGCACCAGGCAGCCTGGACTCTACTCCGGTCCAAAAGGATACACAAAGCAAACTTGCCAGCAGAACAGGCGCAAAAGCCATGATGCTGAAGGTTTTTGCGAGACAGTCCTTATTCTTGACGATGGCAGCCCGCCCGCAACCAATCTAACCTGGCAGACCCGTCGCGTCACTGGACCCTGAATCTGCTAGACTTGAAGTAATGGCGCTTGGAGCCATCATCTTGTATTGCGCCTATCCAGCTTTTCATCCTTAGCAGCGCACCCCTGGCTAATCTGTCTTATCAGGCTGGAGGAGCTGGACATGCCGTGTCTATACACACACAAAGTCACAAGCTACTTCAGTACTGAGTGGCATACCAATTGCGCTTGTATCTATGAATCACGTGGCTCATAAATTTAAGACAACCCAAGAATCAAGAATCAGCTTGAGCAGTGATCATCGGCTGCATATCCTGCCCCCGCTGCTGCCTCATGCAGGTTGTGAGCTTCCGGAATCCGGATCCGATGCTGTTGATTTCATCTTTGTTGCTACGGCGCACTGCCTAGGTACCATGCCGCAATGCTCAGTCTGGCAGCTCAGCTCAGAGATGCACAAGACAGGCAGCTCAGCTCAGTCAGCTGGAGCTGTATACCTACCTACTGTTGTACAGAGGCTACCGGTATACCGTAAGTACCTGCCTACATAGGTAGAACGTCCTGGCCTTCTGCAGCAGTGCCCCGGCCCGTAAGCCGTAGCTAGGTACACAGGTCTCCATTTAATAGGTACATGTTGACTATAAGGGCATGTTGACGAAAGGGAAGCACCCGGGGGAAGGGTAGGGTTGGGTTGGGGGTTAGGGTGGGAACGGGTACGGGTGCGGAGAGTGTGTCATTCATCGGTTTAAGTTGTTAGGTTTGCTCAATGCCCCGAGCACTATCCTTGGTCATTATGCCCTTAGTCAACATGAAATCGAGAAGTACCGTATTTGAGGTACCGTACTACCAAGGTATGATTCCGAATAAATATTTGCATTCGGAAAGTTGGAAACTACAAATAAGCAGTCGGAATCTGCTTTTTCGAAAGGGGAAATTAATTGCTAAATCCTGTTCGGAAAGTGATGTCAATCAATCAATCAATTTATTTTGTAAAAGCCCATATGAACTGAAGTATGTACCGGTAGCCCTTGAAAAGCCAGGAGATAAGGGTACCTGGGTACCTTTGAACCCATTCGGATCTACGGTCGGATTCCGGAAAATAAGACAAGATTTGGACTCGCATTCTGTAAAATAATTGCATATTTTGAGCATTCGGAATCATACCTTGGTAGTACGGTACTACCTCCTGACCTACCTACCGTATGTACCTAGGCACCGTACTACGGTCTACCAGTACCTATACTGGCGGCACTTTGTACCACCGCGTGACATGACTCGATAAACCGTGTCTTGAACGATCATGCCACATGGCGGCAGCGACGGTACTCTGTAGTCCTACTCCCGGAGTCCCGGGCCCACCCGGGGTGCCCCTTCGCTGCCCGGCCGAGGAGACGTTCAGCTACGTGAGCACTGACCAGGGGCCAGCCGCCAGACTCCGAAACTCTCGGGTGCGGAGCGGGTAATTATTTGTGTTTAGGTTTTTAGTTTGATGTGCCCGGGTAACTCGTATCTTCGGTCATCGGTCACACGAGAGTTACCGGTATAGCCGCCAGGGTACCCGGCCCGGGGCAGGGCAGCTGGCCGAGTCGCTGCCCAGTGCGGACTCCCGCCGGACGGTTGCTTGTAAAGTTCCAAATTAATTGTGAATGTGTTCATTTGATGTACCGTACGGTCTCTAGTACTGCCGCGGTGCTGCATAGGTACTACGGTACCGGTAAGGTAGATACCGTAGGCGACAGAAATTTCATAGCTTATGGGCAATTGACTCTTGTCTTAGAGATCGGCTGCAAAATGGCTCGCTCTAGTTGGGTCGGATCCTGCACCACGATCGACGCGCTTGTGCCACGTAGGAAGGCACTTCTACAAGGTAAGGCGACGTGGCCGCTTAGAAGCGAAGGAATGCTCACCCCTCTCTGCAAGGCGGCAGCCACGTCGATTGCAAGCTCATAAGGTGCTGGAATGCCAAGTACCCAGATTGGTCGCAGTGTGAAACGATACGCAGTCCTGCAGGGAAAGTCCCAGGGTACTCCTTGAGCTCGCGCCAGGCTTGCTTCCTCTAGAAGACCTGCTGCAAGAACTTGTGCAGCTTGCTTCAGGACCAAGACTCAAGAGACAGTCTGTCCGGCTCCCGTCTCCTAAGTTGAATTTGCCAGGGGAAGCTGAGAAGCTGTCAGTGTTGTCAAGGGCGCAAGAACACTAACGACGAGGGCCTGTAAGAGAAGCCGATCAGACGAAGAGGAGAAGGCGCGCGAAGAAGCTCGTCCAAGCTATCCCAGACCTTTCAGAAGCATCCAAGATGGCCAGCGCTGTGTGTGGCCTTGCCGGGTCTGCTGCCCTGTCTGGCGCTTCCCTCTCGCGTTCTGCCCGCAGGTCGGCGGACCGCGCCATCACCAAGAGCTTGGTCAAGCTGACTAAGTCGCCTGTCCTCCGCTCCTCCCTTCTTGGGGCTCACCTGAGCAGGTCGGCTGCTTTTGAGTCCCTTCGCCCTCGCATCTCTGCAATCAGGGCTTCCTCTTCCCAGGACTCTACCAAGCAGCTGTCGGCCGCAGCTCTTGCTGCTCTGGTCGCTTCCCTGTCTGTTGGGGGTGTCGCGCACGCAGCGGATGTGTCCCCACCTCCGGTAATTGAGAAGGTGCAGAGCGCTTTGCCCCAGGCGGCGAACCCATTTGCCGGGGGTGCACAGACTGCCCCCCCTGTGAAGGCGTCCGACCTTCCAGAGGGGTCCAACTGGCGGTACAGCGAGTTCATCAATGCGGTCAAGGCGGGAAAGGTGGAGCGCGTGCGGTTTGCAAAGGATGGGAGCCAGTTGCAGCTGACTGCCACTGACGGGCGTAGGGCCAATGTTGTCGTCCCCAACGACCCTGATCTTGTTGACATCCTGGCAGCCAATGGCGTCGACATCTCGGTGTCCGAGGGCGACCAGGCGGGGGGGTACATCAACATTCTAGGGAACCTCCTGTTCCCCCTCCTCGCTTTCGGGGGGCTGTTCTTCCTCTTCCGGCGCGCACAGGGAGGCCAGGGCGGCCCTGGGGGCCTGGGTGGTCCCATGGACTTTGGCAAGAACAAGAGCAAGTTCCAGGAGGTTCCTGAGACTGGCATCCTCTTTGAGGATGTTGCGGGTGTGGATGGCGCCAAGCTAGAGCTGCAGGAGGTGGTTGACTTCCTGAAGAATCCCGATAAGTACACCGCTCTGGGGGCCAAGATCCCCAAGGGGTGCCTGCTGGTGGGACCCCCTGGAACAGGAAAGACGCTCCTGGCCAAGGCGGTGGCTGGCGAGGCTGGCGTGCCATTCTTCTCATGCGCAGCGTCTGAGTTCGTGGAGCTGTTCGTTGGTGTTGGTGCGTCCAGAGTCAGGGACCTGTTCGAGAAGGTGAGAAAGCATGTCCAATTTCTTTGTTTGCATGCTGGTGGCAGAATGATTGTAGTGGTCTATCTCTGTCTTCTGACAGAAAGAGCGAGTTTTGGTATTGGAAATGGAGCACGTAGTCCTTGTTTTTCTTCGTTGGCACCATACGTGCTCTGTTGCATGGTCAGATGTGAAATGCTGGTTTTGGAGTTTTAGGGGTTTCCCATCGTGTCCGAGTTCTTCTGCATGCAGTAGTGGACTTGTGTTGCGTGCCACCATAAGAGCATCCCATGGAGTTTGTCATTATTCCTTGTTGGACCAGTACGCTCTGGATTGAAGCAAACCGTCCTCCTCTACATCACATAGTTATTGTTGGATTGGATTGCCAGACCAGCTGCCTCGGTGGCGATATTCCGAGCGGTGATTTCTATTACAGTGTCTGATGAAATCGCCACCACTCTTGCAGGCCAAGGCCAAGGCTCCCTGCATCGTCTTTATTGACGAAATTGACGCTGTCGGCAGGCAGCGTGGGGCCGGTATGGGCGGAGGCAACGATGAGCGGGAACAGACCATCAACCAGCTTCTGACAGAGATGGATGGTTTCCAGGGCAACTCTGGAGTCATTGTGCTGGCAGCCACAAACAGGCCCGACGTGCTTGACTCTGCGCTGCTGCGGCCCGGGCGGTTCGACAGGCAGGTTACGGTGGACCGGCCAGACGTCCAGGGACGCATCAAGATTCTGCAGGTAGGGTTCTGCACTCTGTTTTTGCTTTGTAACGGTTATACCATTTTCGGAGGAGTAGGATGTGCAAGTTAGGGTTCGAACCAAGTTCGACTGCTGCTTCCCTGGTTTGGTGTTGGCATTAGGGTTTGCAGGGCAATGCAGGTGGACATTTGTAGGTTCAAGTCTTTGTGGTGGCTAAATGTCTCTCAGTGGTGCATGAGAGTTCTTTAGATGTAGCAAATGTGGCCATCCGAAGGTCCAGCTTTCCACCGCGGTTTGTCAGCAGATTAGAATGCAAGGCCTGCTTTTTCATGACATGCATCTGGACTGTTCGGCACACTGTCTTTCCCTCCCAGACACCCCCTTTCTGTGGTAATATGCATGCTTACGGCACTCATGTATCAATGCAGAGCATGTTTTACTGCGACACTTGCACCTTAGTCCTGGCGCCTTGCATTCAATCAATTCTTTTTGAGGATCCATGTTACATGTTGGCCTGAAATCCAATCCGCGTTGTTTCCCCGCAGGTCCACTCCAAGGGCAAGCAGCTCTCTGCTGACGTTGACTTCGACAAGATCGCGCGCCGCACGCCCGGTTTCACCGGTGCTGACCTGCAGAACCTGATGAACGAGGCGGCCATTCTGGCAGCCAGGCGTGAGCTTAAGGAGATCTCCAAGGAGGAGATTGCGGACGCCCTGGAGAGGATTATCGCCGGGCCCGAGAAGAAGAACGCCGTTGTTTCGGAGGAGAGGAAGAAGCTGGTGGCATACCACGGTGCGTTGCGAGCAACGGTCTACTGTTTTTGTTGGTCTATTTTTATTATTGGAGTACCTGAGTGGTACCACAGGATGGTTGGTTGCATTATATGACGCTGTAATATGTGGTGCCACATTTCGTCTGGGACATTCGTTTTTGGTTAAGCAGGTTCTCAAGCTGGTCCATTCTACATTGGAGATTGACTGAAGTGTGTGAGAGTGCGTGAGTGCTAGCAGTGTGAGAAACTTTTCTTCACCTGGATCAGCTGCACAAGATCCTGTTGCTGCTCTGATAGCAACGATAATGTCTTGTTTGTTGCATCATACTACGCATCAGATGCGACAGCTACTGCAGTTCCATCACGTCCTGCGTCAGCAGTTACAGGGGAGGCCAAGTTTGAGGAGATGTGATTTATCGTCTGTCGCCGATTAATATATGTGTTAATGTTTCCCCCTTAGCTTGCCGTGTTACAAGCAGCCTGCCAGCGCTTGCCGAACTTCATTGACCTCATGATTGCTTTATCTGACCTCATGATCGTTTGTCTTTGCAGAGGCTGGTCATGCCATCGTCGGTGCTTTGATGCCCGAGTACGACCCGGTTGCCAAGATCTCAATCATCCCTAGGGGGGGTGCCGGAGGGCTGACGTTCTTCACCCCCTCTGAGGAGCGCCTCGAGTCTGGGTTGTACAGCCGGAGCTACCTTGAGAATCAGATGGCGGTTGCTCTGGGGGGCAGAATTGCGGAGGAGATCATCTATGGCGAGGATGGGGTGACCACGGGCGCCAGCAACGATTTCCAGCAGGTGAGGGCTTTTGTTGTGTTTTTCCTTGACATTACCCTGATAGCGTACCACTCCTTCCCTGGGAATAGAGATTGGTGGCAGATTGTGGCGGTGGCTGTTCTCCTGAGGCACGAGCAGGGTGACAAGATTGCGCTGCTTAAAATCAAAGCGATCTATCACAAAGGCTTGACGGATGTTTCGATTGAGGCGGGCCCTAATTAATTGGTTTGGGGTCTGTAGAACTGGTGCTAGAAGGACTGGTGTCAGAAGTAGCTTTGAAGCAGGACATACCTTTATGGACGTTCATCCTCAGGTCAGTGATTGCCAATCAGCTCTGACCCCTGCTTCGTACCTTCCGCAGGTGTCCCGGGTTGCCAGGCAGATGGTGGAGCGCTTCGGGTTCAGCAAAAAGATTGGACAGCTGGCACTTGGCGGAGGGGGTGGTCCCAGCTTCCTGGGGCAGAGCGCAGGGCAGCCACAGGATCACTCGATGGCCACTTCCGACCTCATCGATTCTGAGGTTCGGGAACTAGTAAACAGGGCTTACACCAGGGCGAAGACCCTGCTCACCCAGCACATTGATATTCTTCACGCTTTGGCCAACCGGCTAATTGAGAAGGAGACCGTAGATGCTGAGGAGTTCATCAGCCTGTTCATTGAGAACCAGGCGGAGTTGTATGTCCAGTAGAAGAGTGTTCCGGAAGTTTCGAGTTGTACAGCGTAGGTAATGCTCAAGGATATTGTGGTTCTACCATGCTGAGAAAGCAAACACTATGCCAGCCATTCATTTGTCTAATTTTGAACGTTGATCTCTTGATGCCAGGCATCTAGAAGCAACAAACACTTGGCAGCATCTTGGAAAAGCGCTAATAGTATGTGTGCATGTGTTGCAATGGGGCTGCTGTTGTCAGGATTGATCAAATGATCTGGAGTTCAAACTGAGTGGAATCCTCCCAACACAAACGATCTTAGACATTGAAAGCTGACTTTTTGTTGTGAACGTACTGTCTCCGGCCTGGGGCTATTTTAGAATGTGTGCACATAAATGCGTCAACACTAGACAATTGCACTCAAGATAATTTACAAGTGAACCGATTCCGACCATCGGACATACTGACGGCAATATCATGGCATGTACCTGCAGGCTAAAGAGGTGGTATGCATGGTAGATGCAAATTTGAATCAATCTGAACTCACGGTTGAGAACACATTTACGTCTGTTAGGAAACGTTCGCATGCGCGTCCATAATTATAGAACAATTCATTAACAATTCAGGCAATCTAATGATTGCATGCGCCAACATGATAGTAGCACTCTAAAGTCCGCTGCATTAGTACATATACTATGATAGCTCACGTCAGCTGCAGCCCTGCATGCGCTTGGGTCATATACATACGTGTTGGCAAATGTGGCACGCATATCCATCAAATTAAACCTATACGTGCGCGCGGCATGAGTTCACTAAATGGTCGGTTGCTGTTGCGGCCGCACACTGCACGTTGACCCATGCGTCGCCTAGCATGACTTGCGATCAGTGATTAATACATGTTTTAAAAACAGAGAATATATGCTGCAGCATATATTCTCTGTATCATATATATGCTAGGCCTGACGGACGGTTTTTCATAAGTACTGGAATGCATGCATAAATGCGGAAGCGTTCACCTTGCATACTTTCACACAAAAGCATCCCACTAGTTTGGCCAGCAAAAAATGCAACTGCCTTATATATCAAAAAAAAAGCTGGCAGGGCAAGCTGGCCAGTGCCAGATGATATGCTGAGGTAAAGCCATCTTGCAAGCCTTGCGCCTGTCACTGTCACGAGCTAACCAACCCAGGGTATCGATACAACTATTCATGAGGACTGGCCGTACGTGTTGTTTCACAACAACGAGGTAGGGACCATCGGCACGCACAGACTGGAACCTTATAGGTCCTTATCTCGCCTGCACAGCGAGCCGCTCCAACAGCATGGCCCGCTCTAGTTCCAAGCGCTCCCGCTCCTCCCGTGCCAGCTGACGCATCACCTGCAAACGGGTTCATATTGGATCTCTGTCTCTGTCTTTCAGAATTCCCGACTCTGCTATCCTCTTCATACTTTTCCGTCATTGGGCTGTCCCTTCGTCGACCCGATGCAAAATTTGTAGTATAACATGAGTCGACCCCCTTCGTTCTTACTTACCTGCCTTCCTTCTTCACTCTCCGCTGTATCTACCTTAGCCTTGAAGAGCAGCCTGGGACTCCCGACTGACGTCAGCTGATCGCAACTTGATAAGGCTCGGTTTGCAAAAGTTGTAAATCAGATGAGGTCGTAGGTTCTCGGAGCTTCTATTTCTTGAGGACCTCTCATGCCTATCCGCTTACCTGCTCTTGTGCGCGCTCAATCTCCATCCGCTCGCGCCGCTTCGCCTGTATCTCCTCCTTGAGCAGAGCGCAGCGCGCCCGGATGTCCGCTTCCGCCCGTTCTTTGTCCGCGTTCCGGCTCCGCTGCTCCGCCGCCTTCCGCTCCCTCTCCTTCTTCCGCTGGGCAAGGATCGACTCTCGTTCCAAGGCAAGCGCTCGCTCCAGGCTGCGGAGCACAAGTGCGCGAGTGTGAAAAGGAGGACGGAAGCGATGTGAAGGGGAAGGGCTGCGCAAATGTTTGTGGTTCTTTTTTCGAATAATCGAGAACTTCGAACGACTCCGGAGTTCGGGGTAACGGGCACTCAGCCGACTCAAGCGCGCGCGTGACGTCAAAGGATTGCAAAGAAAGGTGCGAAGGGGTGCTGGAACCTTGTCCGCCTTCGCAGCGCCCTTGGCTAAGCGCTGCCAACTCTGACCCTTGCACGTCGGAAAAGCTCGAACCACGTATTATGGTGAGGACAGAACTCTCAAAGTGGCGCGAAATTCGAACAAAGCGTTTGTAAACGGGGTCTAAAACTCTTGAACAGCTTCGCAGGACGCAACGTCTCTGGTTGTACCATATTCCTGGGTAGAACGGATCTTGCAAACCGCCTTTCCACGGCGGCCACTATTCGCCCGCCTCGTCTATAATCTGAATGAAGCGCAGCTTAGGATCTTCCTCTCACCCCAACCTTGACACTCCACGTTAATCGCCACTTGAGATTCTCAAAAGCGGGTCCAGATAAAAGTATTCACTCAGAATAGCCCCGAAATATCCACTCAAAGAAACCAGTTACAGTATGCTCGGAGAATTCCCGGGCGATCGTCTCAAGAAACTCGGTAGCGCCTCGAGGAGCCGGTCCAGAGCGAGACGCCGGAGGCAGTATCCAACTAAAGTCGAAAACTACAATTTCAATTGTTTGACACTTTTCAGTGTTGGAGCACCACTCACACCCTGTTGCCGATGCTGCTCTCGACCTCGTTGACCTCTCTGACCGAGGCCACCTTCTAGACCGCGAAAAGACTCGGAACCTAGAAGCGCATTGTCAAGCAGTAGAAAACTGACACTCACAGCGTCTTGACCAGCCGCTCCTCGGCTTCGGCCTTCTTCACCGCGGCCGCCTTTTGATCCGCTTCCGCTTCCGCTCGGAAGCGTTCTGCGTGGATCTGCTGCAGCTTCCGCTGGTGCGCTTCGAGGCGGCCGCGCAACCGCGCGCGCGCCAGGCCGCGCATCTGCACCCGACACGTCGAAGGGTTCGACGGGGTTGGATATTGTGGTTGTTGAATACTTGTCGACCGTGTTCCTCGGAACAAATTTACGGAGTTGCTCATTCTGGAAAAGCTCAACGCAAGAACGTGGCCTTTAGAGCGCCTTTATGCCGTCGTCCTGGACATCACCTTCGACTTTCTACTCAATCTCTCCGTCCGGAAGACTGCAAATGCATCCGGGACGGAACCAATCCGCTTCGCTTCTGTTCTGGAGTAGGGCAAAAATGTCGGTAGAGGTTTTGTCTGTCGGAGAATCATGGTTGGCAACTGGAATCCGATGGGTCGGAAGAAGGTCCCCACCTTCGGCTGGCTCCTGGGCACAAGCCCTTCCGCCCACGCCTCCACGTGTCGCCACGTCGCTTCGTCGCTAACCTCCTCAGGTCTGCCCTCAACCTCCGACCCCTTCTTTAGCTCCTTCAGCCCCGCAAACTTCTCCGCTAACCCTTTCCGCAACCCGGGGTTTAACGGCAAACCTTCCACCAGTACTTCTGTTTCCTCTCCATCGCTTTCCAACCGCCGGCCAACTAAAAGCTTCCGAAGTTCCGGATGATTGCGGAGCAGGGTTTGGAGGTTTGGGGTTTGCGCGCGGCCGCCGTCGAGCGTCGAGACCGGGCTTTGGATGACGTCGTTCAGCTGCTTGAGCGTCTCCTTCGAGAAGAGAGGGTTGGTTCCGCTGGACGTTGGGTTGGGTTCCGGCCGGACTCGGAGCGGGACCTGCTGCAGAGAACGGAAAATGTTAAGTGATGGATGCGGACGAAATTCGACGCGGGATGTTGAAGAAAGCAGGTTGTTTCTTTGAAGAATGCTTGAAAGAAGTACGACCTTCTCAACTGAGGACTAGATCGGTTTTGTGAAGAAAGCCTGGCGATTGTACGACGTTCTCAACCAAGGACCGGAAAATCTTACAACGATACAGATTGAACCGGGCGTTTCAAAGTCAATCGGGCTCCACCGCCCAGCAAAGCCGCTCAGCACATCAAAGAGCGTAGAAGTACAGGGGACTTCATCAAAATTCTTGGTGAAGCTTGCGAGATCCAACAAAAGCTCTCCCCAAGCTCGATACTCTCATTCATTTTTGGCCGCTCGCTTGCATGGACCTTGTTCTACTCTGGACCAGGTAGCTCAACCTTCGCCAATCAGTAGCCCAATCAAGACTCTCGCCAAGCGCGGTCACCAACGCGGTCCATCGTCGCGGCTAAATCCGCAAAATTAGCTCGAAGCCCCCTCAGCAAAGCCAAAACCTTACCTGCCCTTTGGGCAAGAACGAATTGTACGCCTTTCGACACCTGACCATACCCGCCCCCGTCTGCGCCCCCACGCGCGGCCGCAGCGCTACCAACCGCGTCCTCCGTTTCCTCAACCTTTCATCCTCCTCTCTCCGCCAACTTCGGACGCCGGTTCCGCCAGCTGTCAGCGGAATCTTACGGACGTCCGGGAGCGGGCGGAAGGGCCAGCGCACGGCGTATGCCCGCCGGCTTATGGACTGCAGCTGGTGGCGAAACGCGGTCTGCTTGCGCTCCCACTCGCGCTGCTCCTCGCGCGCGACGCGCGTCACCAGCGAAAGCACCTTGCTGACGTCGGCGCTGCGCGTGCTGACGTCACCGCTCTTCCTGCTGTCGCTCTCTTGATCTCGACTGGTGTCGCATCTCGTAGGTTCGACCGAAGGGGGTTCGGCGGAAGAGTACGGGGGACACGTTGCTTGGAAGTGCTTGCTAGGGTGTGGCTGTACACGACCCCGACTCATAAGGTCTGAGTGGATTCTAGCATATGAGCTTGGTCCTTGAATCGGGCACCGACTGCGTTTGCCAGGCTCAGAACTCGACGAAGAAGTGTCTGCAGAATCGGACCCTGTTTCCGCCCCATCTGAAGCTGGATGATGTACCGATTCTTCTTCTGAAGAGTCCGTATTCATCTCTTCCGAATTGAGTCTTGGCCCACGGTCCTTGCGTGTACTCGTATGCCGCCCTTTCTGAGGATCCGACGTGCTTTCTCTTTGTAGCTTCCGACCCGCATTTCTTCTCCACACAGCAGAAGCCTCAACCTGAGTACTGGAGTCAGACCCACTGCTTTCCGTTTCCCAGTGCTCAGACGCTTCTACCTCAGTGACCTGGCCAGAAGAAACTCTCGGCTCCTCTCCACCTCCCCTCTTCGACGAACGTGTACGGTATGATTCTCTTCCCATCCTGTCCACGCGGTCCCCTCTCGTCTGATACTTCTTCTTTTCGCCTGTTGCCTCGAGCCTTCGCTTAGGGATTGCTACGATAAGCTCCAAAAGACTAGCAATATGCTCTTGGTCTCCAAAAACGATCCTCTCTGCCTTGACATGCGATAAGTCGAGCTCAAGAAACTTCGCCGCCTCTTGGATCTGCAAAACAGTTGGTGTTCGATCAGTGGAACTTCGAGAGTCTGCTCGGCAAAGAAACATAAGTTGCGAGTTTTGGCGTTTTGTGCATAAAGTCCTACGAAATCTGAAAACTCGATTTCAAGCCTAAGACAGATTTGTGACGCACCATCATGATATGTTGAACACAATCTTTGTCAGAAATGGTCTTGGCTTTCAGTTGTCTTAGAGTTGCATGTTCTGGAGAAAATACACTCTTTTGAACCGCTCGGTGGAGGGTAAACTTGTCGTCAGGTGTTTGATAAAGCGCGTCCCTTAACCAAGTTTCTTCACATAGTGCTCTGCATGTTTTGCGACTTCCCTTTGCTTGGTATATTCTCATTAGGGCTGTCCATGTGTATCGTAGTAGTTGATCGTTCGCCATCCTCCTGCCTCTTTCTAAGCAAGCAAGCCTGCCAATCACACTCTTCAGTTCTGTTCAAATCTTTCACCAATACAGTTGCGACCAACTCGATAACTTGCTTAATCAAGATTGTCAGTCACAAAGAGGAACACTTACCACACTGGCACAGTTTCCTACTCTATCCGCAGAGCTCTTTGGGGACTGCTGAAGGCCCGCTATTCTCAGCCCCGTTAGCTGCTCGAAGGCTGCCACAAACACAGAGGTACTGGAGCAGATTGCCACGACGTCGTCCACAGTTTGGGCCTGCAGAAGTGGGAGCAGCTCACGGGATTGAATCGGAAAGCGCAGGTGTGTTGAATTGAGTCCATCAATGTTCCAGGGCAGGAGTATTGATTGTTGAGGTTTGGACAGTTCTCCTCTGGTCAGGACCATGTTGGCATTCAGCAACTTAGCTAGTTGGGGAAGGTGTGGACTTTGTGCGAGTCTGACTTATGGCAGTAAGCTGGAGGCCCCAATCTTTGGACAAGGGTCAGCGCCTGTATCTTCAAGAGAGTCCACTTGACCACATTGAAAAGATAGGGAACTTCCAGCTCACTGCCCGGTTAATCAGGGGCTGCGAAAGTTAGGCCCCCAATCTACACCAGCTAATACTCGGCTTGGAATTTACCTTCATCAGCCCCTTGATTCACCATTTGTCCGGCCAAACTCTCATTCATTTTGTTACAAAGACTTACAAGATCCCAGGTACTTATTTTGGAACAGAGCAAGCCATTTGCATTTATATTTCGATGAATTGCAATCACCAACTAGATTGTGCCCAGCTGTATCTAGGTCCAAAACCTTCTTTCAAGTTTCCTGAATCATTCCCCGCCCATACGAGCTGACATGCTGAAGCTGTGCAGATATATGTTCTTGAGTACAAGCTGCAATGCTCTACAGGATCTCCATTTTCCAGCTCTCTCGACAGCCTGTGGTTCAAAGGGAGGTTTGGCAAGTCAGCTTCGTCTGAGTTGCTTACGCCTCTGAGACGTGACACTCCTGATAAGCAATCAGTCGGGGGTTTGTTGCTCACCTTTGCAACCAAACCCGCTGCGGCCATCATCATGTTGCACAATGCAACTAGTTCTGCGCCATCAAGAGTGCTGCCACCTCCCTCGAAGTATGCATGATGCTTCGCCATTGTGGATATTCACAAAGAGAACGAGGCGCTCGAGCTAGCTCTATCTGGCGTTGTTCCTGCCGAACTGCATCTCTTGAGCTCAATCCCCCCTAACGAGTGCCTGCAACACAATTCTGCAATCACCACATTGTCAAAGGATGATTGGCTGCCTTCAGCTGCACATTTCTTACATATAAATGAGAGGCCGCAAAGCAGGTCCTACTCATCCGCTCTGTCTTCTGAACACAGGCCGGTATAATTTTTGGAAATAACTTGCCGCGCTGCTTGTTCGTGAGCAATCTGCGAATGGATGACGAACCCTAATCTGAGACACGTCCCTGCGCGCATGCGCTCGCGTAGACAGACCATGTTACGGGTCTTTCAGGTTGTGATGGCAATAGCTTATGGTCCTTGGAGTGATAACCGCAGATTCCTGTCATGATGATATGAGGGGCCTACCGACCTTCTGAAAGCTTTATTGCCGACAATAACTCGGTACTTTTGTATATTGACTTGAGAATGCGGACTCGTATTTGTGCATCCCACTGTTCAATCGGCCCCGGTCTGAGTTTGAGAGCGAACGTAGGTACTGGTGACGAACCGTACGTATACGTACGTATCTCGGTACGTATCCATGGCAAACCATATACGGCGACCTCTTTCGAAAAATTCAACAGCAAATACTGAGTTCACTATTTCTTTGCCCTCTGGGCTATACCGAAAGAAACCATCCCTCTAAAACCACCACCGGGGGTATAACTTGGGGCAAACCGGCTGTCATTCTCGCCAACGGCCACCGGAATTCAAATTTCGGTCCGAAGGCGCATGCTTCCAAGTCATGGAAATTTGAGCTTATAAGTTCAAAAACTGAAGCATTACTCCACCGTTTTCGGCGGTCTTTCTTTCCATGGCTGAGTTTTAGTCGAGTATGTGAGGACAGGTCGAAACCACCGCTCAAAACGGAAAGAAACGGTCTGTTTTTGTGCTGGCGGACGACCTTCCTGTATGTGTTGCGCCCTGATGCGCCCGTCGCAATTTTCAAGTTGCGAAGTATGATTATGGCAAAGCTGGTAACCAGCACTATTTATACCCCCGGTGGTGGTTAAAAGATATTTAGCAAAATCAGAATCTTCGCAGAGGCGACTCCGAAGGGCCAGCTTGAACTTGAAGTCGAAGGGGAAAATGAAGTGGTGCAATCCTGGAACTTGCAGGGCCGAACTGGAGATTGAGGAGCATTCTGTTGTCTGTCTCCAAAGCTCAGCAGGTTTCCGCAAAGGTTGCAAGTACATTGGTTCTGGTCTCGTAGGAGCAGCTCCACACGATGGCGGCGGCGGGCGTGAAAAGCCTGGCGGCTGCCAATCTGCTGTCCTCAACTGCTCTCAACAGCAGTGCGCAGCTTTCTTCCTCTTCACATCTGGCATGCCCCCTGCTCCCCTTGACCAAAAAATGTAGTCCCAAGGTCCATAGAAGACGACAACTCCGAAGCAGGGCTACCATTGCAGACCCAGACTTGATAGGCAGAATAAAGGACACCCCTTTGCGGGAAATGACATTGAACGACCATCAGCAAAGCAATGGGGCAATGTCAAAGCCGAAGGATTGGGCTCCGGACAGCTGGAGGAGCTTCAATGCACGGCAGCAGCCAGAGTACCCCGATCAGGCAAAGCTTGCTGATGTGGTGGAAACGCTGGAGCGCTACCCCCCCCTTGTGTTTGCGGGGGAGGCCCGTGCCCTAGAGGAGAAGCTGGCGCAGGCTGCCCTGGGGAAGGCGTTTGTGCTCCAGGGGGGGGACTGTGCGGAGAGCTTCAAGGAGTTCCATGCAAATAACATCAGGGACACATTCAGGGTTATTCTGCAAATGAGCGTGGTGCTCATGTACGGAGGCGCACTGCCAGTGGTCAAGGTAAGCTGCACTTCTAAGGGCCGAGGTTGATGTTTGGATTCATTCTCGGGAGATGCTTTATTCTACTGATGGGCTGCAGTGGGCTGATGCCACAATCACTATCTATTGCTCAATTTCAATGACCTTTTGGCAATATGGAAAGAAAACTCCTCGTTCAGCCGGTTCAATTGATGCCGAAGGTGGTAATGGTGTTCAGATTCCTCTTCTCGTATCGCAGCTTAAGTTGATGGTTCAACCTGATTCCCTGTGGTATGTGCCGACGCCCTTGAATATTGCACCTCCACTAGAACCTCAGCGGAATTTCGCTTGGCTCCACATTGGACAATTGTGACGGTTGCTTTGCCATTGTTACAAGGACTGCCTGCCAAATTGGTCCTTATTGGCCCCTGGCAGCTTTATGCCCACCTTTTTTTGATTTGGCTCGTTTCTTCAATTTTTAAACATTTCTGTGGTACTTAGAGAAATGCTTGTAGCAGAAGCATTTACTTCCAGTGGACTTGCCTGCTTCAATTTCACGCTCTATTCAAGTACCTTTCTCACGGTTCATCTCTTAGGGGTCTGCACCTTCGAAAGTGGGGAGGGCCTGGGAATCCAGTTCGTTTGCGCCTCTGTGATCGAAGACAAAGTGATTTCCCCACTGTCGCGGTCCAGAGCATTGGGTTTTTCAATGTGAAATTTTACAAGTGATCACAATCTGCTTTAGTTACATTGATGACCCCTCGCTCAACATCGTGGGGGCTTTTGAATCAACATTTTTGGCGCTCAAACGGACCCTTTGCTGTAACTGTGAAACTTCTCATGATAGCACAATTGCGGAGACTCAACTCTCCTGAGACACAGGGAAGATTCTGGGATGAGGCCAGTGAGTGCGTCAGAGGGCCAGAATCGAAAACAAACAAGAGGGGTACTTGGTTGGAGTTTTCAAGTCAAGCTCGCTTTTTACTGCATAGGGGTCCTTAGGGGGTCAAAAAATGGTCGTAGTTTGAGACCGACTTTTTTTTTATCTTCAGCCTGTTCGACAGAGTCGACTGCCCTCCTTCGTGAGAGATTCGCATAAGGTTTGATTGCAGTGGTGGTCAAGGCAAAGGGCTGATCTGGTCAGTAAGGACTTGCGGCTCGTTAGAACTTGTTTCTGAAGAAAGCGGTCAGAGTCCGGCAGGTCTCTCAGAAGTTGCAAAGGAGTTGACTTGGACACAGCTTGCAGCATCTTTGCAGAGCGAGCGCTGGACTCAGGTTTCTCTGTTCTTTGGTGCGTCCATCATATCGTTTAGGAAACGTCCACTCAAGCGATCCGGCACTGGCCGACAAGCTAGCCAAGGGATCAAAGCCCTTTACGTTCAGCGCTCGTCACTCCTAGACACTCATTGGTGCTGCAATTCATGCCACTGAAACCCAAAGATCATCAAATCTCAAAACCCTAATATCGCCCATGGCAGATTGGCCGAATGGCGGGCCAGTTTGCAAAGCCCCGGAGCGCAAACATGGAGGAAGTAGACGGCCAGTCGCTTCCAAGCTACAGAGGGGACATCATCAACGGGGATGCTTTCACAGAGGAGGCCCGCGTTCCTGACCCGGCACGGCTTGTTTCGGTGAGCAGTTCGCCAATGGATTTCTCCAATCATAGGGGATGGAGGTTATACCACCAGGCACAGGGAGTCCCATGTTATGGTGCATTGAGGGTTTGAATCAATCGATTCCAGAGCAATCAAAAGGGAGGTCTAACAACCGAGTTGTCACTAGTTTGCACTACCAGTGCAAGGCAAGAACCCCATGTGAATTGCCGATGGTCACATCCTGACAGTCTTCTCAGCTTGGCCTTGTATACAAAACATACATCGAGGAGGCTCAACTCAAGATGTTCTAGCCGTCAATTGGGTTGTGGGGAGCAAGAGGCTCAAGATAGAATGAGCTCTAAGCGAACGAATTGTTTCAGGTTGTCTAGGGGCCTCATTGATGGAGTTTTCCACGTGTCATAGAAAGGGACAGCTTTGAAACTGAGATATTGTGGTAAACTGGTGCGTGGATTTTCGCTAAAGCTAGTCCCCAGAAACTGTTTACAACCTGAAGAACAGGTCAGGGGCGCTTTGTTTTTAGGCAATTCCTCAGGGTGGTGAGGAAGAGTCAGGGAGGGTGAGAAAACTCTGTCAGGAGTGTTCATTACGCAGTGAATCAGAACCTGAGGGCAGTCAGTAATAAGGTCGTACCGGCATCCTTATTTGATCCAGCTGCAGAAGTATGGTCCCACTTTGAATGCAGCTTAAGCTCTCATGAAAGGTCTCAAAGGCTTGTTAGGGTGTAAGCAAGTCAGTCCTTCAGGCACAACGATATCCCCTCTGTCCGTCCGCAGGCTTACAACCAATCGGCTGCCACGCTCAACCTGTTGCGGGGCTTCGCTTCCGGAGGCTACGCCGCAATGCAGCGGGTGACGCAGTGGAACTTGGACTTCATGAACGCTAGCGAGCAAGGCCACCGGTGAGAGCAGCTCCCCACTCTAGTTGCGACTTGGCTTCCCCTCTAGTTGGTCTTGACCTAACATTTGAAGACCTTATTGAGCGCCCGAGCTTTGTGTGACGCGAAAAAGGAAGGGAATGGGAAGAGAGAGAGAGAGAAAGCTCTTAAACGACAGCGAGCAAGGCCACCCGTGAGCAGCATCCTACTCCAGTTGCGTCTTGGGCAAACGTTCTTAGACATCAAAGAGCGCCCAAGCTTTGTGTGAGGCAAGACAGAAAGGAATCGAAGAGTTGACAGCAGGAGGCAATTGAATGCTCGCGAGCAAGGCCAGCGTTAAGTGAGAAGCTTGCAGATTTTGGTTGGGTTGTGTCTCGAGCAATCCTTGTAGACCCTTCTGGCGCTCGGGGCTTTCTATAAGTCGGAACTCGATAGAACAGAATGACAGCGGGAACTTAAACATAGACCAAGAAGAAGTTTCTTGTGGACGCCAAACCTCCGGTTCACTTTCAGCCTTTTGTCAATCTGTAAAAACGGCCAAGGAGCCCTCATTTCTACAACCCCTCAAATCTGTCGGCCTAATTCAATCTCAGATTGTCTGCTTTGGAGGTTCTTTTTCTGGGGGATCACGAAGATCCGCTTGGAAAGTCCAGGTTCTCCCTCCATTTGTTCTGTAAGGTTGAGAACGACCGCAATCCCATCTACCACGAATGCTAGTAAGGCTCTGCAGTTACCGCGCGCTAGTGTTACCCTGATCAATGAGAATTTGCGCTTCACTGCCCTGGAAAAGCGCTGATTATGTGCTGCAGTAACCGCGCGCTAGCGATTCTGATTGAGGAGCTCCTAAGTGTATTTCTTCTATAGTTGCTGGGTATTTTGGGCAATTAACCCGCACTAGAGCGCTGGTTGATCTGTACAGTTACCGCGCGCTAGCGATGCTTATCAATGAGAGCCTGGGCTTCATGAGCCCGTGCGGCTGAACCAAGGTGGCTTGTAGAGTTGGCACCTCGCCCTTCTATCCTTTAGAAACTTATCAACCCGCTCTCAAGTCCCTTATCGCCAATATTATAATCGCACCGTCTCAGTGGCTCTTAAAACGCTGGTTATCCTGTGCAGTTACCGCGCGCTAGCAACCCTGATCGATGAGAGCTTGGGCTTCATGAGCGCGTGCGGCCTTGGCCCCGACCACCCCGTCATGCGAACCACTGACTTCTACACCAGCCACGAGTGCTTGCTTCTGGACTACGAGCAGGTAAGACTTTACGGACTGCCCGAGCGGGGCAGAACCCTCTAGAATCCTCGTGTTGCCGTAGTGTTGGGGGGGTGGGAAAATAATACCAAAAGAAAGACACAGCAACGGCACGGACAAGCGGAGCATTGCCGAGGTAAGTGACTCGTGGAGAAGCAAATTCAGGTCGGAAAGCTCCGTGCTGAAGCGCCTGCTTTTGTTCGTGGACATTCTTGGTTACCGAGTTCTTGGGGCCTTCAGATTTGTCAGTCATCCCTTGAGTTTTCGATATTCCCTCCTCCTCGATATTCCCTCCGCAACGAGGAGAAAAGAGCAAGCAAACGTGGATGGTAGAAAGTCGAGAAGCGATTGAATTCCAAATCTCTGCACCGGCAAGGTTCCTGCTCTGATACCAAGGCAGCTGCTTCGCTGCTCTTGACCGGATTCTGGAGAGAGCGCAACTACGAGTTGAAGAGCCACACTCCAAATCATTCGCCTCTTTGGATTAACTTTGGCTCAATCCTTTTTCCGCCATGCAGGCACTCACGCGGCAGGACAGCACGACCGGCCTCTGGTACGACTGCTCTGCGCACATGGTGTGGGTCGGTGAGCGGACCCGCCAGCTGGACGGCGCGCACCTTGAGTTCCTGCGGGGCGTTGGGAACCCGCTTGGTGTCAAGGTGAGGCCGTGCGGTTAAAGAAGAGGAGGAAAAGAACATTATTCGAATCCGCGAGTTGATCGAAAGTGTGTTGGTAGGATACACGCACATCGAGTTCCTGCGGGGCGTCGGGAACGTACCCGCTCGGCATCAAGGTGAGGCCGCGACGTCCGAAGTGCGTCTGATGCAGCGTCTGTACAAGTTCGTTGCGATTGTGTTAGTAGGATCGACGCATGTTGATTTTTACGGGGCGTTCAGGAGATTCGCTTGGCATTACGGTGAGGCCGTGCTGTAAAAGGATATCGTCCAATAGCGTCTCACTTTTGTTCTCAGTGCTCCCCAAGGATGGATGCAAACTTCTGTGGGGCTCGCTCGGGCACTGAAGAGAACCTGCGTACTTGAAACAGCGTCCAAATTTGCGGTCAGATGTCGAAGTAGTGAATTCTGTGGTTCAGTACTGGGAGTTAAGCAGTACGGATATCGAAGTCTGCGTGGCATCTGTGCTTCGCGAGGCACTAAGGTGAGACTACAGGTGAAAAGCGTACAAGTCTGGGCCGCCCATTGTTCGAAGACAGCCGACCGAAGCAAGCTCTGTTGTTAGTGGTCCAAAATGCTGATAGACTCTGAGCTCCGGAGTTTGAGAGTTTCTGAGGGCCTTTTGCAACGGAGTTGGAGAGTTTCTGAGGGCCTTTTGCAACGGAGTTGGAGAGTTCCTGAGGGCCTTTCGCAACGGAGTTTGAGAGTTCCTGAGGGCCTTTCGCAACGGAGTTTGAGAGTTCCTGAGGGCCTTTCGCAACGGAGTTTGAGAGTTCCTGAGGGCCTTTCGCAACGGAGTTTGAGAGTTCCTGAGGGCCTTTCGCAACGGAGTTTGAGAGTTTCTGAGGGCCTTTCGCAACCGGCACGGCAGATGGGCTAGCCAGGACCAGGCAATTTGTGACGTACTCTCAACACCAAGAGGCGCCTTGGCTGCTTTCTGCGTCTTCTCAGCAGACTTGGATTGTCATCACTTAGCACGTCAGATTGATCGAAACGTAATCTGAACGTTTCCTCCAGAGTCCTGCAGGTTAGCAACAAGGCGGAGCCCCCAGAGCTGGTCAAGGGGTGCCGCATTCTCACCCCCCCGAGAAACGCCCTGGTTCCCTTCATATCTGTCTCCGTCGAATCTTATGCCCCCTCTTAACCCGGACGATTCCCCCTAACCCTGCAGGTTAGCGACAAGATGGACCCGCAGGAACTGGTCAAGGTGTGCCGCAACTTTTATCTTCGAGATCCGCCTCGGTCCTCTTTTGCACTTCCTTCACGAAATCCAGTACTCTCTTGTTAGCACGTTAACCGAACCCGAACTTTTCCTCCTTAAACTTGCAGGTTAGCGACAAGATGGACCCGCAGGAACTGGTCAAGGTGTGCCGCATCCTCAACCCCGAGAACCGCCCCGGCCGCCTGACCGTCATCGTGCGCATGGGCGCCGAGAAGCTGCGCGAGAAGCTTCCCGCTCTCATCTCAGCCGTCCAAAATGAGGAGATTATCGTCACGTGGGTCTCGGACCCGATGCACGGGAACACGGTCAAGACGCCCAACGGGTTCAAGACGCGGCCGTTCGAGGCGATTCGCAGCGAGCTGCGCGCGTTCTTCGACGTGCACGCGGAGATGGGCAGCCACGCGGGGGGAGTGCACCTAGAAATGACGGGCCAGGTAAGAATTGCTCACATTTGTTTCTTCATCACCCACTTACTTTTTGGCGTTTTTAATGTTTTTCGTATCGTCCAGCCTTTCTTTGGTAGAAAGGGTCACTGGAGCTCCGAGGTCCGAATTTGTAGGGAGCAGGATTGATGTCGTGCTTCTGCTTTGAAACTGCCAGACGTCAAAAACGAAGCAAGCGAAAGCGCTCGTCAAGAGCATTCCCTTGCATCAGATTTGTCAGAATAAGTCCCCGTTACAGCAGAGTTCGACGCCTTCGTTCTTCATTTCATAAGCACAGGCACTTTGGGAGAAAGCTTCACAGCGGCGAGTGTGCATTTGTCGATTCTGAGTGCTGAGCCAGACCAGGTTATAGAAGTTCGTCCCTACGAGCATAGTAGCCACGAAAAGAGGCACGATACTTTTGCAAAGAACCTTTCTTGACTGACTCGCGGGATGGATTTCTCAGCTTCCTTGACTCCGACGATTTTGCTGTTGCCTCCTGAGCGCGTCAAATAAATCCCCTTTACTTGTCCGGCGGACTACTCAGCAGCAAATTTTGGCCAACGTAAGCAAAAGGTCTAGATTTGTCCATTTAGTTTTATCCTTCTCTTGTTTTCGTTGCCGCGATTCCGTCCTTCCCTCTGCTTCGACCGCGTTGCAGCAGCCTATACTCACCAACAGCAATTCCCAGACGTCTTCTCCAATGAGTTCGTGCTGACGGACTTGAATTCCGTCCTTCGCAGGACGTAACGGAGTGCATCGGCGGCGCCAAGCAGCTGTCTCACGAGGACCTAGCCAGCCGCTACCACACGCACTGCGACCCCCGGCTGAATGCCAGCCAAGCCCTGGAGCTTGCCTTCCTCATTGGGGAGAGGTTGCGGAAGGAACGGAAAGGAAGCCTTAACGAGACTGTCGATGCAGTTGCAGAGACACTCGGCGGGCCGTAGGTTTTTGGTAGTGAGTACTGTGTAAAATGAGCGTGTCTGGGCGGGTTTTGTCGCGAGTCAAGCTACGAGGATAAATGTAACGGCGACTCTTGGTTGTTCAGAACCACTAAATTGATGCTGACGTGATGATTCCGCAATAGTCGTCGAGTTGAAGGTGATATCTCCTCTGCATAGGGTTTAAAAGTTCACCGTACTGAATATCATATCTATCTCTATATCAATGAATACACGAGCTTCTCTCACCCCTCTGGATATTCTCTGGATATTGCACTTACTGGAAAATTATGTTTGTGCACTAGCTAAGTTGCTGGCTCTCATGCAGGCCATCACATACAGTCATGTACAACCGTCCGGTCGATCGGCACTGCAAACTTGAAGGTACAGCGCCGGGAGCCTCGGAGGCTTTCAAGTTTCAATGCCGGCACATGCCTGATGCCAACCGGGCACAACTGAGCGAGCTCTCCATACATATGAGCTCCACGGGCCAGGCTATGGATTGTCGATATGATCCAGGCATGCCGGCCCGCCGCCGCGTTAAGATGTTATAGAATGTTCAAGTTAGGATGAATCAGAGATCCGATCCGCGTGTGCACAAGGATCTCTACCATCTTTGCACATAGTTTCGTCCACCGTCGGTGTCCAATTACATCGATCCGTTGCCAACTTAGCTTCTGATACAATTACGGTAGCTACTACTTGTTGCGTGACTCAGGCTGCATGCCAGGTGCTTTGCATGTTCGGTCGGACGCGCTTGTATTTGAAACGTGATCGCGATTCAACGCGAGGCTGGCTGGCAGTGTCGGCCTACACTGTGAGTTGGCCTATTGCCCACTGAAACCTTAACCTCTGATATCCAGAATATGAAGTTGCTGGCCGGTATCTTTGGAGGATCATATGAAAATCTGCTTCCCCAAAAAAGAGGTTGGTGGATCACCCAAAGACGGTCGGCATGCATATTACAGCATGTTCATACAGTGACCTGGCTGGAAGTGAAGAGTGAGTCTGAACAAAACCCAATGTGCGTCCCTCGGGCCTCGGCGCAATTTCCAAGCGAGTCATTACAGCTCTTGGCGAGCATGCCAGTTTGAATCAGAGGGGGAAGCCTAAAAGTGAGAGGACTAAGCTGAGCCTGCGACCATATCAACTAACTTCAACGAACTTTTTAAGCTTCCCTCTCTATCTATAAAACGGGAAGGTTGCTTGCGAAGAGCTGTTTAAGAACGGGTTTTTAAAGGGTTCGAAAGAACCCTTGACAAGGGCCGGGGCCTTGAATTGCAGTTCCTTCACGTACCTTGAGCTCCAGTACTATCTTCTGAGCAAAAGCTTCTGTCCACTCTGGGCCCAGTTTGTCAATGGCTGGCACTTCTTCAGTCCCTGTAGTCTTCTGAAGCTTCTCCTGACCATCAACCACACCTCGATTGAAACTCCCCTGGGCATCCTGAGACCCCTCCTCCACCCCAAGGAGCTCCGCGCATCTGAGCACGCGCGCCCTGCGCTTGTCCAGCTTAGTGCCTTCCTCCTCCAGCGCGCGCGTAAGCTCAACCATGGTCGCGCGCAGCGCAGCCGCGGCCGCGTGCACCGCTTTAGAGCGGTCCAGATACAGCGTTGTAGCGCGCTCCATTTCGTCTTCCAGCTGCTCAATCCTGCTGACGTTCTCTGGTGCAGGAATGATGTCTGTAGCTGAAATCAAGGTTTCTTCCACGCTTGGTTTGGTTTCGGCGATGCTGAGGGAAGCAATGCTTAGCGTTTCCTCATCGCTGGTCGGGCTGGCGGCTCCCATCTTCAAAATCCGCTCACGTGTGCAAGTTATATGCCTCCTCTTTTTGCAGCGCCTTTTTGCTTCACATCTTCTACTGAGCGTTTGCTTTTGTTCAATTCAAAAGTCTCGGCCTCTACAACGGCGGCCGCGTAATTCCAGCCGCTGCCGGTTCACTTCAGTCAGGGTTTTGAGAGTTCGTCATTTGGGCGCGCGACCTGTCAGCGCGCGGCCGCCTCTTAACCAGATTCATCACCTCACACGGGGCGTAGACTGCTTAACGGACTGCATGCGCACGGGTTTGGTGAAAACCCGACCGCGCGGCCGCTCCACTGGATTGCAGGGCTTGTTCGTGCATGTGATCTCGCAGCAGAAGCATTGCGAAGCTGGACATTAGCCTACTAACCAAAGAGCAGATTGAAAACTACTCTTCTTGTGCTCCATTGCAAGGGCTTTCCATGGTTGCATGCTCGCGTGCATACTTCCTTGGCAGCAGCATCTCAACGGAGGTTTCCAAGAGTCTTCTAAGTTTGGACTCCTCGAAAGTTGTACGTTTGAAAGGAGACGAACACTTTTGTAAGACGGATACCTCAGCTTTGAATAGTGCTGGATAATTCAGGAAGGGCAGGAGCGGAAAGCAGGCAGAATGGCGCCCAAGAGACCGGACTTTGCGGAGAATGTGATCGGAGATGACAACGTGGCGCTCGAAGGATACAGCCCCGTGTCCATCGCTCACGGGAAGCCTACCCTGGGGAAAGAGGACATCACCACAACGGTGGGCATACAGTCTCAAATGCCATAGCCTCTACGTTCAGAAGTTTAGCTCTTCGTTCATAGCATCTTCATCAGAAGTCTGGCTCTAGGGTAGTAGAACATTGACTTTAGCGGACAAGAATCTTTGAGGTTCTCTTGAACTATCTTTTGGGCAGACTTTCTAACGGCATTTGATGTTCAATGAGGGCACGAAGATTGCGAGAGTTAGCAGATCGTGCATGGTAGGAAGCAGAGGTATCAGGCAAACGGAGCAAGTGATTCAGCAGGCCGAGATTGCAAGAATGCAGAAATTGCAAGAAGCGGCTCTACTCCTTCCTGAATGCCTTTGTTGAAGTTGCATGCTAAGCTAGACGTGGTATCTGCAAGAAAGGAGGGGATGCTGAAGGATGGGGTACTTCGAACGTTTCATATACTTTCGCCATTGTGCTGCTTTTGATCAATGGAACTTAAGCTTGATTCTGGATCCATTTTGTGATCCTTCTGAGAAGAACCTAATGGAAGCAGCTGGAGGAGCCAAATACATCGGGACAGCGTTAGGTCTGAGCTACCTTTCTTTGGACTAGAAAAGTCTTTTTAAACAAACAGAGAAGGAACAAAAACAAAAAACTTGTACAATCTGACCTAATCAGGCGAAAAAGAGATCCTTATAAACCTGCCAGCCGGTGAGTGACACCAGAGTAATCCACCGGTCGTCACACCCAGCCAAACTCGGTGCCTGCAGGAGGGCGGGATCAAGTACCGGTTCGCGAGCGAGGACGAGCTGCGCGAGTTCCAGCAGGACCCGAAGCGGTACATACCGGCCTTCGGCGGGTGGTGCGCGTGGCACATGTACGAGAACGAGAAGATGGTGAGCCGAATGGTTCAGGACTTTTTGGATCTTCGATTCTGATATGCTTGTGTTATAGGGCTTTTGTTTTCGTGATGGCCTCACGATCTTTTGGAGCCAAAGGAAAGGGACCTTCCGATCACTTTTCAAGGCCATTCTAGTCTCTGTTGAGAGAATCGGTCTGCGCTTTCCTACCTTCCCCCTTCCCTCCCCTACGCTTATTATAAATTCGTGACTGAAACCTCTCAGACCCTCCATACCGAGAGGAGGGTTATACTCCGTTTCGTTTAGGTCGTTCTAAATGAAGCAGGTCGGACGGCCACCCCCATCGCGCCTTCAACCCTGCAAAGCTGACATCAGCATTCACGGTGTCTGACGCATAATGCCGTACGCTTGAAGCTGTGACCGAATCTTCTCAGTTTAAAGAGCTTCTGGTTGCTAGGCCACGCTCTTAAAGGCAGCATTGCCGACACCAACAAACGGCGATGGGAGACGCGATATGGGATGCAAGTTGCAATCATCCCAAAACCGCATGACATCTTCGAGCCCTCGTCAGGGAGGGTTCAACATGTATAACTACAGTACTCAATTGACTTCGCAAAAGATGCAACGAATGGAGGTGACAAGTCTGATGCATTTTCTCGTGACATGCCGGTCGGCTAAAAAACGGGCTGATTAGAGTGATTCTTTTGTCTTGTTGGACATGAAGTGTTCCAAGCCGGCTGAGATTTGCTGATGTGGAGGATTATGGAGCTTTCCTAATCGAGACGTGCTACCCGGCCCTTACGAAGGGACAAATAGAGGATTATGATGCTCGCTTCGCTTACCGGCAAACGTTTGCGGGTTTGCGGAACTGAAGCTACCGCGCGCAAACGCCCCCAAAAGTATCTGCTTGGACCGTTGATCAGCGCTCGCGCCTCAAATGCAGAGCTTTGTAGACATTCGACTTTCTTTCCCCTTTTTGCCTGCCTTCAAAACAAGGAAAGTCCTGTCCAAAGTCAGTTGCATATTCCGCGCCCCTCAGACGATTGATCCGCATGTGCCGTTCGCGTAGGCCTACTTCTGTCGGTTCGCAACCCATACGACGGACTTTGTTATCTTCGTCAACCTTCCGTGAGACGCAGCTGGAATACGCAGCTTTTCCGTGCGCCAATCACTTCATTTGAATCTGAGCTTTGTGACTGTTCTCAGCTGGAAGCCTTTGTGTCGTAGCCAACTGGTGGGTCTCAAAAGAGTGCGCCTCACGTGAGACTATGTTTTAGTCGCACACGTTCTCTGCAGCATGCCCGCAAACGTGTTTCGCATCTCCCTTTCTTGGCTTCTGTTAGGCAATGACTGGCAGAATGGGTCTCGTGTACCCATCCACCTTCAACCAGACGTGGAGGACAGCCTTCGAGTAAGTTAGCGTATAAATTGTCAAGTGCAGCGCAGCCCAGCTTTGAAGAATCTTATGGGGTCAGGTTCTCGATTTCAGGTCTGCTCAATTTAGTCAGCAAGACAGGCAACGAAATCCCCCGATATCTGAAGCAATTGTCTACTTCGTGTTGCTTGTGGTCCGCTTGCATCTTGCTATCCTCCCGGGCAATGAAGATGAAGGTCATTTGCCCAACATGTCATCATTACCCGGAATTTTGATCAAGTGTTTGAGCCCGCACTTATAACCCTCAATGCTCGTAGATGAAACCGCCCTTTTGAAGTCTTACCATCGTGGACTTGATGTCAGTCTTCTGCTAGGAACGCGGGTTCTGGGACTCAGACCCGGGACCTTCAGAGTGGGATTGCACTTCATCTGCTTTGAACCCATCCTTGGACCTGATTGGTTTGGACTTCGATGCGCCGCAACGTGGCAGTGAAGACAATCAGCTTGGGGGCGATAGCCCATTGTATGCCAAAGTAATTTTGAGCCATATGGAAAACTCTCTCAACCGGACTCTTATTGCCGAAATTCAGTCAGAGGTAGTAAATTTGCGTAGCAACTCACTCCAAAGTCTGACGCTCCGCTGGACGGGGGACGTATTACAACCACCTAGCACCGAGTATTTCTCTGGTTCATTGCGCTGCAGATTCAATCCGTCAGTGTGCCTGATCAGTTTCTCATCTTCCTGTCATGATTACCCTGGACTCTTGGCCAGTTCTTGGCATCGTACAGTGCAACCGTTCTTGGGGTTACTCTTACCGGAATATATTTGTACCACAACTTAATCTCGCTACAGATAAACTTCAACACGAAGCAGCTGTTGAAATTGTTCCTAGAGCCGACTTTAGTCAGATCCTAAATGGGGAATTTGCTGCCCCACCTTGCGCTTTTGCGTATCTGTCTTCGGGTCTTCTATTGGGCCCCTTTGTAACCCAGAATTTCTGGCGTTTCCGAGGCTTGCACAACACCGGACCAGTCGCCTATTGCTGTGACCGTGTGGTCAGCATCGCGGCGACGTCGGTTGCGCCGCTTTTTACGGACTTCTGTGGACGCCGGAAAACCACGTGCTGACGTACACCGAAGCCTGCTCTACACAGGGGCAGTCGCCTTGCGAGGTGATCGCAACGTCATTCTTTTGCGTGCCATGCTGACGTCAGCCTCACGATGTCTGACGCATGATGCTGCCTGCGTAAGAAGCTCGAAGTCGAGTTGCCTTAACAAAGCCGCTACTTAAAAACTCTATGTAATGGCAGTGTTGTCTAAGGCACGGACGGGCGATGAGTGGCAGACCGCGTTGCAACTTGCAACAGTCTCTAGGACCCATATACCTTGCCGAGCCCGTTTGGATGATGTGGAGATCGAGTAGAGAAAATTGTACTGTACGGGGCAGAAACAATGCAAGGGCTACGCATGACGAACTTCGCAGAACGCTTCTTGTTCTGAACGGCAGCTAACCCCATGTATGATATCTTTTCACTCTGGATTCTGTGGGACAGCTTGTGTTCAGTCAGGCTGTAAGCTTTCGAATGAAGCTTACTATTTGGTGCTAACAAAGGAGCATGTTGCTCGTTTCGCTCGCCGGCAAAATCGCGGCAAGTATCCTTGGCTGTCAAAGACTGAAAGGACGCAACGACTCTCAGAGTATTTGCCTTGGCCTACTTTTGAGCGCTCTAGCCTCACTCGATGAGCGTCTCTGTAAGTATGTCAATTCATTCCTTTGCTGTCTGCTTCCCCTGATCTTGAGAGGACGATGAACTTCTGGAAAGCTTGCTTCGAAGAAGTCGCGGGGTAGCCTACCTCGATCAGAAGCATTTGATCCGCGTGCGCCGTTTGCATTGCGCACTTCCTTCGACTGCCCCCACGCATCAAACGCGCCTTCGTTGTTGTCTTGCTTTGAGTGCTTTCGTCCGAGACAGCAGAGACATGTGCTTTTCCCGCCCGCTTCCAGTCGAAAGACGTCAATCTTGGCTTGCTAGCTGCTCTTTCATGAATCTGTTCGACACATTCTCAGATATGGTTCATAAAATACTAGGCCGCACTGAGGATCCGCGCACGTCTGAAACTGCAGCATGCTAACAAAGCTATCGGATATTCTTTTCTTCTGACGTTTGTGAGGGCAATGATACTCTGGCCATATGGGTCTCATGCAAGTACCCAGGCCCTGTTCTTTTTCACGAGAGCCGTTGCAATTCGTGAAGGGATTGATATGGCTGTGTGGGTCTCATATACCCAGGCCACGTCGTTCAGAGGAGAGCCGTTCTAATTTCGGTCGCTTGAATGTAGAGCACAAAGTGCCGACTGCAGCGCGGCAGAGCTTTGCAGATCCCTGCTGCGGTCAGGTTCTGAAGTCAAATCTGATTACCATCGTCATCATGCATGCTTAAGAAAAGCTTTAAGGTCCTGAGCTTGGGTCGGATTCAAATACTGCGTCTTTGTTGTAAGTTCGCAAGATTCCGAGATTCCTCAGAGCAGAGAGGATGATTACGTGTCTGAGGTGCTACCATTCAGAGACCAAATTTGAACCCTGAGTAATATATCTTAATATATCTTGCAAGCATCTGACAATGCGTTTTTGGAGGAATAACAAAAACAATGACTTCAGAAAACCTCTGAAAATGCGTAGTTGAGTTTGGGGTTTTAAGAACGCACGTCTGGAGTGCAAACAATCTTTCTCTGCTTAAATTTTGACGTCCCCGAGCCTTGCTTTTGGTTGATTCACCACCAAGTGGCAGAGAAGACGGACTAGAATGGGTCTGATGGCCCACTTTGTGTTGATCACGTGAGCCTCTTGGAGTCTTCTTTACACCTTGTTTGCATGCTGACGGACCGAGAAGGTCAAATCCAAACGGTCTGATTCAGGACGAGATCAGGTTTACTTCGCTGCAGCTTTAGACTTCTACGCTCCACTGTACGAGCTAGAATCTATTCAACGGGATTCATAAGCTGTCACTTGATTACCAGCAGTCAGAACAACATCCTCATCCTTTTCTTTGCATCGAAGTAACGTCAGACAGTAGATAATGAACGCGTTCTGATGGAAAAACTAACCTGTATTCAGCGCGTCCTGACCAACCGTGATGTGTCATTATCACCTCGTCACAGCAGCGCTTCGGCACGCAGACGTGCAGTTCTTGTGGTGCTATCCCAGGCCAGACTTTGAGGGCCTAATCAATCCTGCAGTCCCCGTTCTGTTTTCAACTTTGGTGGTTAAATTCCAGGGGCTGCTTTGCGATTCCGAACGTCCGGCAGCAGCAAAGCCGCCCGCGCTGCACCGCGTGAGTCGCCTTGAAGGGTGACCGCCTGCTCAAATCTCGTGGCGAGCGTCTTGGCGCCTATCCGACTTTTCTGAAATATCGAAGGCCATTTGCAACTACTGCACCGCGCCTCTGTTTGGAGTTGCTCTGTATTTCAGGTGAACAGCAAGTACTTTGATAGTGCTTTGACGATTCCATGCGCTCGATTTACTATCCTTGGTGGGAGCACTTCTTAAGTCCTTCGCCTACGCGGCACTTTTGAATTGACGGTAGACGTTGGGCTCGATTGATAAGGTGTTCGTTGGACCTTTGGACGTCATGGGCAAGCCAGGCTTTTCAAAAAGTGGAGT